GTCACTGAGCATAGAAACCTCCAGCGCCCAGCCCAGTGTGGCTGGAAGCTGGGTAGGTTGTTGACCACTGGGAGCAGTGATTTTAAACTCTCAGTGTAACTGATTTTTGACAGTACTGGCAATTATGGCTCCACGAAGTTAATGGATCTTCATGTGAATTTTCTTCTTTTGAGCCACCATCATTAGACCTCCCTTCCTTGACAGTACACCAAAGTCACAGAGTTGCTTTCCTTTGCAAAACTTAAGCAAAGGCTCCATCAATTATTTCGCAACTTTTTGTATGTGGCTCAATCCCATCTGTAAAATGGGATTACAGTATTTGCTACCTCTTAGGGCTGTTATGGTGATTAAATGAAATGATTCCTGTGAAACAAGTACTATGAAAAATATCTTTCAGAACAGAACCTAGAAAGACCTCAGTACACTGTGCAATTATAAAAGTATTGTTTTAGCTTATTGTCTTTATCCATCTGTCTTTTACTTGGCTCCCTACTCTTCCTTCATGTCTCAGTTTTCATTACATGTGTTTTATTGCCAGTATTTGAATCTCTTAATATGGTAAAGAGACATTTGACATCTCATATTTTTTGTTTTTGCCTTCATTATATTATTTTTCTAATACATTACTAGGCATTTTATTGTCAGTTGATAAGGGCTCTTTACACACTAAGTCTTTGGTATCCATTTTAATACTTTCCTGCTTTATTCTTTGTCTTTTTATATAAAATTTTTGACATGTAGATCTGTTGTTTTGTAGTGGAAGTATTTATCAAGTTTCTCATTTTCTGCTCTTATTTCTACTTCTGAATCCAAATGGTGATTTTAAAAAAGATGTAATTCCTTACACCATCATTATGAAAAGAAATATCTGATGTCTTTGTAGACACAAAATAAAACTGCTATATTATCAAGGTGCTTCAGTATTGTGCTTTTTAAAAGTGGTCCTTTCCTAAGAATAATTTTTCTAGCGTCTGCTGCGAAAGAATAGTTTCTCATTACAGCTTGGGTGTCTTCTGTGGTCAGGTCACTAACTTTTGTCCTCGATGACACTGTTTTCTGCCCTGCTCACTATTCTCCATTCTGTCCTTCTATTATACAGATCAATTCCCCCCTACTAATTTTGAGTGATTGTTCAGTTTAAAAAATTCAATAATTCTCCACTACCTATTGGATACAAGTAAAGCCCTGAAATCTAATATTCTGTGAGTTCTTTAGTAATCTGACTACACTTTTCAGTTTTTTGTGGTCAGGGAAGTGAACCCAGGGTTCCATACATATGATGCAAGTGTGTTACCACTGCACTCCACCCCAACCTGACTCTACTTTTATGTCTAGCTTGTCATTCTGTGTACCACTGAGCTTGTCCCCATGGACACCAGATTTCTGCATTACTCCCTGGGAAAAATTTCTCCTTCAGTCCATTCCCATCGTATCATCACCTCTGCTTTCCTTCTCTCCTCCCCCAAACTCTCTATTCTTCATTATGTCTCCAAGTTCTAGTTATTTCAAGATCCAACTCCAAGTCCCATCTGCTCCATGAAACTTTGACAAGTAACTCTAGTTTGTAAAGATTTTTTTTTCCTTTTCTGGATTTTTGTGACATTTAGTCTCTTTTATCAACTGACGCTTAAAACACGTATGTATTGGTCTGAGAGGTGCATTAGCTTTCATATAGCTGAGGCACAATAACTGACCCTATATTTTAAAGAAGGAAAGATTTCATTTACAGCCTCTGATGGGTTGCTCCAAGGCATTACAGTGTGAAGGAACAGAGCTGCTCCATTTATGGTTGCCAAAAGCCGGAACTGTGCCAGAGCAGAAAGGTCAAGGGATCCAATATGGTGCCCAAGATCACACTTCCACAACTCCCCCAGACACACTCGAGTGTGCTCTACTAATTTATGTGCTTCTTAATTCAATGAAGTTGTCAGGATTATTAGTCACAATAGGGCACCTGTAACAAAATAGCACGAGCTGTGTGGCTTAAGCAACACAAACGTATTGCCTCACAGCTCTGGAGGCCAGACAATCTTCTGTCACGGTGCCAGCAGGTAGTTTGGTTCTGAAGATTGTCGGAGAACAGTCTGGTCCATGCTTTCCTCTTGGCTTCTGTGGTCTACTAGGATCTCTGGTATTCTTTGTCAATAGTACTTTCCTTGGGTCTTCACATCGTCTTTCCCCTGCACAGGTCTCGTTTTCTTCACATGGTGTTCTTTTTATAAGAAGTCTAGTCATATTGGATTATGGGCCCAACCCTCTTCAATAAGACCTCATTTTAGTTCATTAAATCTACAATGACCCCATTTCCATATGAGGCTACTTTTTGGACATTGGGAGTTAGGTACGCCAAATATAAATTTTGAGAAAGACTCAATTCAATCCAGAACAAGATATAATGGAGTTTCATCAAACAAACTCTTTACTTACATAAATTCAGTAAAGTGGTCCTGGTTAAGAAACAGAAAAATAAAGGAAAAACACAAACACAACATGAATAATTTGCGCAACTTTGCCCACATTTTTACTTTGTGTCCCTTTGTGAAAATGACATAAAAGATATGATTCTGTAGGGCTGGGTATTTAGCTCAGCTGCATAAGTGCCTGCCTTGCAAGTGTGCAGTCGTGAGTTCGATCCCTGGTACCAATAAAAACAAAAATGACAAAAAAAAAAGCAGATATGATTCTGCTATTCATTTGTCTTGATTTCCTTGCACCTCCTAAAAAACTTCTAATCACCTAATGCGATCCTAGGGTTTAAAAGTATGCGTTTCATAATATGTGACATTTGCCTTATAAGCCAGCTTAGCATCTCACTTTCTTTAGGATGCCATTTCATATTTTGTTTTTGCAATTGCCTCCTTTACCACCATGTTTGTCCTAATGCCTTTTTTTTATAGCTTCTTAAAATCCCTTCATATCATTTTAAGAGGGCAAAGGAAGGAGGGAGCTGAAGCTACTGTATACCTTTTAACTTTTGTCTTTAGTTAGAAAGATCAAACTTTTTTCTTAATCTGAAGATTTGTGTCTTGATTCAATTCTGGAACATTCTTTTTTTTATCTCCTAAAGCACTGGTTATCTGCTATATTAGTTTTTCTATTGCTACTGTAACAAACAACCACAACTTAGTAGATTAAAGCAAAACAAATTAATGTGGATCAGAAGTCCAGGTGAGTTCTGCTGCCTAAGTAAGGTGCCATCCTGGGCTTTTATGCAGCAGGAAGGAAATCTAGGGTAAAATCTGCTTCTAAGCTCAACCAGGTTGTAAGGGATTCAGTTCGCCAATGCTATAATATGGTTGAGATTCAGTTTGGGGATCTGTCTTAGCACATTACCCCTTCTATTTCCAATGAGGCAAACCAGCTCACTCTAACCTTTTTTTCAAGCCTCTCATGCTTCACTGCTTTTAAGGGTTCCTGTGACTAAATTGGACATACTGCATAGTCTAAGTCACTACTAGTTACATCTGCAAAGTTCCTCTTGTCATGTCATGTAACCTATTCACAGCTCCCACTAATTGAGATGTGGACACTTTTGAGGGGCCATTCTGCCTGCCATCGATGCTGTTGCCTTTTGTACATTCTTGAGGTTATTATCTGTGGTTCTTAATTATATTTTATATATATTTTATTTTTTTGTCTGCACTGGGATTCACGTAAATCATCCAATTCTTTGAACTAGTCTAGAGTTTATCCCATATAATAATAACTATCTAATCTGGAGGTTAGCTCACTGAATAATTTTTTAAAATTTTCGGAACTATCTTTTAAGTATCCAGATTTCCTTTTTGGTTCCCTTTCATGCCCATCTCATCTTGTTCCACTTAGTAATTTTTATTCTTTTTAAAGGCAGTTATTCCTTCACTCTTTTAGACCAGTGTTTCTCAAGCAGGAGTGATTTTGTCTCCCGAGGGTTGGGCAACATCTGGAGACTTTCTGTTTGTCACAACACTCCAGCATGTAGAAGCCAGGCAGGAACATTCTACAGTATGCAGGACAGACTCTATCCAAAAAGGAATTTTCCACCTAAATGTCAGAAAGGCTGAGGCCTGAAACTTTGATCTACATAATTTTAAACATATTCCCTTAAAGGCTTCACCTCATCTGGTGTGAATCTTTTGGTGAATCATGTTTTGGTTGTTTCTTTCTGTTGGCTATCTTTGTTGCATTAGATTTCTCCATTATTTTGGCATTTTGGTTTGTAAGCTCTGTCACAGTTATGCCTTTGTTTCTTTATATCTGTCTCTCCCTTCTTCCTGTTATCAGAATAGCCCCAATCACGAAGCAAGTCTCTTTTATAAATATCATTATTAGTACATGTTTGTAGTATACAATGGTTGCATTCATCATGGGGGTTGGTACGTGTACATAATACGCCAATTGTTGTTGGAGGCTGGCTCCGTAATTCAGGCCGGCCCTGGACTCACCCTGCATCCCAGGCTGGCCTCAAAAGGGAGAGGGCTAAGCAGGAAAAAAATCAAGCTCGTTTCTGCTCATCTAGAAAGCTTTTGGGAGAGAAATGGATTAGGATTTCATTACGTGTTTTCCATCTGTGATCAAGCTTTCTCTACATGCAGTTTATTTCTATAAACATTCACAAATGTTTATTGTGGTAGGTGCCAGGGAAACATAGCTTAGGAAAATCTTATTAGACTCAAAAAATTCACAGTTGGAAGCGCCAGGGAGAAGCAGGTAATCCTGTTTTGATGGGTGGATTCTATTCTGCGTGTCTACACAGAGCCTTAGAGGATCGGCTAGGAATAATGATTTATTGTACCGCGTGGCTGTCAGAAAAGACAGCGCGATCGCTCTGCTGACCGCCGCGTAGTGAGCACGCGTTCACCCTGCAGGTGATGGCTAATTTTGGCCAGCACCCGGACAGTGGTCGGAGCGTGTCAGGCTCGGGATTGGCTAGCTGCAGGTGCCTTCCGCCAGGGGGCGCTGTGGCCTCGCAGCGTCCAGGCCGTTGCGTTTCCGGGAACGCGGGTCCAGCGCCGCCATAGCTGCTGGGCGCGCGCGGCGCCTGGCCCGTCGCTCCCGTTACCGGGGCAACCGCGGCGCCTCCGGTGTAAAGGCCCAGATCATCTCTCCGCGCCATTTTCAAACTGCGGAAGGAAGCGCCGGGCGGGTGGCTGAAGCGGAAGGGGCCAGCCAGGGAGACGACTGGGGAGGGCGATGCGGCCGCAGGCAGAAGGTGAGCGGGGCGGGCCCGCCGGCCGGGCTGGGCGCTGCGGGGAGGCCGCGCGGCCGCGGGAGGGAGCGGGCGGCGCTGGAGGGACGGGCTCGGGCGCGGGCTCTGTCCCTGCGGCCCGCTTCCCGCACCCCTTCGTGCGCGCCGGGACGGTGAAGACGTCGGCCCGAGACTGGGATGGGGCCTGGGAGGCTGGGCCTCGGAGTGGGCCGGGCCCGCGGGCTTGATCGGTAGGTTTAAAATACCGATGCGCGCGGTGTAAGAACGCTACGAGTCGTTTTGTAAACAGTGCCTCAAAGCGGCTTGGCCCGGTGCCTTCGGAAAACGTTCTCTCTGCTTTCCAGTCTCCACTGTGTTGAGTAAGAAAGGACTCAGGGATGACCTCAGTTAATAGATTCGTTGTTGTTTGGTTTTGTTTTATAAGCCCTTGCATATAAATAAAATGCATTGGTTTTCAGATGTCCGCCTTCCAGGGCTAAATAGTTCGGTAGTTCTGAATGTGTCTATGGGTCTAAACGTGGATGTGGCATGCCCAAACCTAGCCTTGTATGTTGTTTGGCTAAAGTCTGGTGAGTATAGCCACAGTGTTTCAATCCAGGATACGGGAAGATGATAGGCCGAGAAAGCCTAATACTGTACATATTTTTTGTCTTCCCTGGTAGGATTTTAATCTAGTTTTATGTATTGCGGCCCTAGCCATGATGTTTTAACTTATTTGTATTCTCATTCTCTCCTTCCCTTTACCCCAAAGCAAGCTGTGAGGAGGAATTATTTCCTGGGTAACCAACAAAGAGGGAAAACATCCATGATACACTACTAGTTCGAGTATGTCAAGTGTATTTCTGATGTCTGCAGAGGTTTCCCTAAAACACCGGACATCAGACAATCCCTCTTATGGAAGGAACACAGAAAGCCCTTGGGAAAGCCTTTCAGAGAAGAGTTAGCACTGGCCAGGAGAAAGATTGTAGGAAACAGTAACCAAGGAGAGGTACTAGTTTAGAAGTGATTTATTAAGTACAGAAATCAGAGTGCTGGACAAGACTCAGGAGACTTGGCATCCAGTATCAGCTCACCTACTTATGGCCTGGTGATTTGGATAAAAGCTTTTCTGGGGGCAAAGATGCCATTAGCCTTTTATTTGCAGGGTTGCCTGGTGGTAGTGGTGATGGTGGACTGAAGGTCCAGCTGGGCAAATGTAGCTTGAAGTTTGATAGATATGCTACATATTAAAAGGGTTTGTAATGACTAGGAGGGATGGATGGAACGGACCCAACTTGTTAGATCTCAAGGGAAGAAGCTTTTACTAGTTTCAGAAGGGAACCATAAAAGGGGAGGGAACATTGGCATTTTGGGGATTCAAAAGAAGGGGAACCAGACATTGTAGACAGAATTTCTCTCAGGAGGTCATTGCAAGTTTCTGAAATCTCTTCTTTTTAATAAAGGCAGGACAAATTGGTTTGGGGATTTCTGAAAGCAATGTCTTATAGAATCAAGATTGAATTGTATATACCCCCTTCCTTGATGGTACTGGGTGTTGAACCCAAGGTCTGGTGCAGACCAGGCCAGCGCTGTACTATGGAGCTACACTCCAGTCCATTTTGTTTGTTTTGTCTTGTTGAATTTTTGATTCTCTTAACTCCATTGTAAAGTGCAGGTTATTTTTTCCTAAAGTGAACTTCAATCATTGTGTGGCTTTTTAGTCCCCTTGTCATGGGATTAAGCCTTTAATCTTAAGGAGCTGCTGAGGGACATGAAGGTAGCACTTGCAGGCTGACACTCCCTCCCCTTCCACCAGGTACAGCAGGTGGAGGTGAAGATGTGTTGCCTTCTCTCCATTGCAGACTTACCTGAGAGAACTCTTGTGACACATGAGAGGGCAGAAGCTTTCTGTGGTTGAGGCAGTGCAAACACCATCTGGCTCCATGGACTGTGTTAAATAGAGCTGCATGAGAGTTATTGTGTGGCTACCTTGGGCTCATTGGAAAGGACAGCCCTGTTTGTCACAGGAAAGGGATGAGGAAGCATCTTAGGGGCAGACTTGTCAAGAATTCAAAAGTAGTGTGATGAGTGGTTTTTCTCAGTAGCCTCATTTCAATAAATTCTTTCAGCCATTCCGAAGACGAAGGGACAGAAGAAAAGCCAGCTTCACATCTAAAGTGTTATAGATCGTTGGCAAACTGAAAACTGGACATAATGAGCTCACCATTCTGACCGAGTGCAGGGAGAAATAACGCCATCTCCTAACTCAATTAATGAAGTGCAGGGAATCAGGGCACAGTCCATGTGTCACTAGCATCATGGCACAGGCTTCTGGAGAGCTGCCTGTCTCTAGACATTGTACTCTGATAAGGCTAAGGACCAGACAAAAAACACAACCAGGAGGCAGGGAGAAGGGCAGAAACTTCAAGCATCTCAAAAGTCAGCTGTGTTTTAGAACAAGGCAGGGATAGTGCAGGCTTCTGCTTGCAGGATGGTTCAACATTGCACGTATTCACATGCATTTGTACTTTATCAATTGTGAAAAAATAACAGATCTCAAAGTTATTTGGGAATGGGTATGGTAGTATACATCTACAATCCCAGCACTTGGGAGGTTGAGGCAGGAGGATCGTGAGTGGGAAGCCACCCTGGGTCACATAGTGAGTTCAGGACCAGCTTAGATTACAAATCTACACACCCACACCTTGTTTTAAAAAAAGCTTTTATCCAGATGTGGTGACACACCTGTAATCCCAGCACCAGAAAGGCTGAGGTAAGAAGATTGTATTGGAGGCCAACCTGGGCTACATATGAGTTCAAGGCCAGCCTGAACTACATAGTGAGGTCTTGTCTTAAAAACAAAAGCTTTTATTTGGTTTGAAACCATGAATACCACTAAGTATGTTTAATTAAAGGTTAGAAAAGAACAAAATTTCTAAAGAATTATCTTTGGATAACTCCATTTTAGGACAGATTAATAGAGAATATAGTTATAAATACTTACACAAGTTTAAAAAGTGTACACAAGTATTTAAGTTCCTTTTTTAAAAAGCTGAAGTGAAATTTACATGATGAAGTATGTATTTGAAAAGCTTCCATAAATGTTTGCACCATTCCCTCCGTCAATTGTATTTTTATCACCCTAGAAAGTTCTTAACCCTGGTAGGCAATCTCTACCTCAGTGGGTGACTGTTGAGCTAATTTCTCTGCCCATAGTAATTTTACTAGGTTTTGAACTTCATGGAATTATACAGTATATGTGTATGGCTTCTGTTGCTCAGTAGTATTTCTGATATTCATCCATGTTGTTGGTAATTATCAGTAATTTCACACTCTTCTTTCCTGGGTAGTATTACACATACATTGTGGTCTATCCTTTCTAAGGTTGATGTTTGGCATTTGGGTTGTTCCCAGCTTGAAACTATTATAAATAAGGCTACTGTGAACATTTTTGTCTTTAGTGGGTGTTTGTTTCATATAAATACTGTTCCAAATCTTTGCCAACTTCGGGTATTGCCATTTCTTTTCATGTTAGCCATTCTAGTATGGACAAAATTTATGCTTTTAAGTGATTTTAATTTAAATTTCCTTGGTCTTGAACACCTTTTCCATATACTCTTCCTCTTCAGATTTTGGGGGGGGGTAAGGCACCTATTCGTATCTTCAGGACAAGTAAATTTTATTTTTAGCGTAAATTTTCTCATTAGTTGTTTGTTTTATTGAGTTATAAAATAACTTATATGAGTTATTCCATATAAAAATTCGTTCTAGGCTATTATGTTTTCAGGCACTCTTTGGTTTGCATTTTTCTTTGATGACCAATGTTTTTAGTTTTGATGTAGCCTGTTTATTAATAGTTTAGCTTATAGCAAATAGTAAATATTTGCTCAGTTTTCCTTTTATGTTGTGTGCTTTTAAAAGACTCCCCTTTAAGAATTCTCTCCCTACCTTAGGCTCTGAAAATCTTTTTTTTTTTTCTAGGCTCTTTATTATTTTAACTTTTATGTTTAGGTTTGTGAAGAGACAGTATTTCAATGCAACAACATGGAGAACATAGCAAAGGATTTAAATCATTGTAAATATTTTTAAAGACTGCCTGAAGAGGAACAAAAAATTAATTGTTTCATATTAAAAGAATCTATTCTTTTTGTTATGAAACAACAATAGTAGGTATAATCATTCTTTTCTTTTAGGACTTTAATTTTTGGAAGTGAGTAAAACTGGTTTTGGAGGTCAAGATGACGACAGCTGCAGAGAGAAAGTATATTAATATTAGGAAAAGATTGGATCAGCTGGGGTACCGTCAGACTCTGACAATCGAGTGTTTACCTTTGGTAGAAAAGCTGTTCAGGTAAAGATCAAAATACAGTTCTAAACATATATGATCCTTAAACCACTTGTCTAGTTTCTGATTAAATGTTTTGTTTCATTAAAGAAATGAGCAGAGTTGAAAAGTCATTAAATCATCTGAAGTTTACCTTTTTTTCCTCTGATTTTAATTCATCTGCCTCAGTCCAGAATGTGTACACTGCAAAACTCCCGGTGTCACCTCTCACACTATACTCAGAGTAAACATTTTGAGAGTTTCTCTGAGCAGAAGTAGTTTGGAATACTTTTTATTGCAGTGTTGGAGATCAAATATCTCATCATTCTTTTCACTTCCTGAAGCAGATGTGGAAGTCCTTTTTGGTATCTATGAGGTGTGATCGAGACGACAGTGAGTGTTGCTGCCAAGTACTGTCAGCTGCAAAAGCAGGCTCATGAAAACACTACCATGTATCTACCCACCTATCCACCAGACCCGGCACCATGTGACAACTCGCTCTTACCTAACATCAGAATAAGCATCAAGCCCTTACCTCTAAGGACACAGTTTGATTTATTTCACTTAAGAGTATGGTCTCAAGCTGCGCCCATTTATTTATAAATACATCAATGTGATCATTCTGTATAGCTGAGTAGTACTACATTGTATAAAAATACCACAACTTTTTTATCCATTCCTCAGTTGATGGGCACTTAGGTTGTTTCCAAGATCTGGCTAATACAAGTTCACATATATTTTTATCACATTTCATATGTTGTGGATCATTGCGATCATACAGTACCTTAAGTGGAATGTTCTTTGTGATTTTTTTCTTTTCCATAAGAGTTATGTTGGAGTAGTTTGAGACTTGAGCAGGATTTACAGGATTTTACAATAGGATGGAAAGGAGAAGAATGAATAAAGCTGCTTTGTGATCTTTAACATGACCTCCCAGACCTTTCATGGCCTAGCGCCTGGTTCTCCCTGCAGCCTCACCGCCGCCCCTGCGTGGAATCACTTGAAGCTTCCTGGAGTCGTGTGCGCTCTTGCCCTTGGTCTCTCTGCATGCTGTTCATCTGCCTGCAGAGTCCCTTTCTCCTTGCTTTCCCTTGCCCTTGTGCCTGCTTAGCCTCTAAGTTTGTGTGTCCTCTAGTGCTGTTTCACAGCTGTTGCATTTTCCTTAACATGCATCATTATTGCACACTTGTTTTTGTTTTCCTCAGTGCAGACTTTGCGAAACCAAAGTCTGACCCCTGCTGGTTGAGCATGTAGTGGGCACTGAAGTATTTGTTGAATTTATAACACAGTTTTAAATCTTTTTGACAGATTATAAAAGGCAGGTTTTACAGTGGTGAGGACCTTTTTGTGTGTCCTCCTCAATAACTTTTTAGTGGATGATGTTCCACTGGTCTGTGTCCTTAGAGGTAAGGGCTTGATGCTTATTTGGTGTTTCTCTTGTGCTTAGCATATTAGCAGACAGTAAGTATTCACTCAGCAAATAAATAAATTTCACATGTTCAGGAAACCTGGAAAATGAGCAAGAAGGAAAATTCAAAGATAATTCAATGCATATGATTTTATAAACATAATTAGTTTTGTTTTGAGAACTTATTTAGCCTCCACACACATACATAATACCTTGAAAGAACCCTAGTTTTCATTTTTCTTTGGAATTTGATATCTTTTAACATTAAGGTATATTTTAAACCTTTGAGAAGTATCTATTAGAAGATGATAAATTTACAGTTTTCGTTCTTCAATTTTAGTGACTTGGTTCATACAACAGAAAGCCTTCGACAAGCAAAATTATCTTCTGTGAAAGCTGAAAAGGAAAGTGCCAATTTTGATTTTATTTTGGAACCCTATAAACTTGAAAATGCAAGATTGAATAAAGAAAATAATGAGTTATATCTGGCATTAATGAAACTGAGAGAGTGCTCAGAGCAAAATATTAAAGGTAAATGAAAATGTAATTTCTAGAATGCAGTATCTTTGCGTGTCTTGTTTTATATGTAGAAAGACTATAATTACAGTCTAATTTTCAAACTTAAGATTAGAAAAAATGATAGTCCTTTAACAACTTTGCTTGTTGCTCAGACAGAATACCTGACTTTCATAACTTAAAAAAGAAAAGATTTATCATTCGTAGCGGTTTCAGTCTGTAGTAGGCTGGCTCTGATGGAGAGGGGCATGGCAGGCAGCAAGCAGCAGCCCTCAAGGGAGGAAGAGGGATGTTTAAACCCTGCCAGACTGCCCACAGCGACGCATCTGTTCCCGCCAGGCTTCACCTCCCAACACGCCCACCCAGTTATAAACGACCTTTTCAGTGACTTGATCCACTGCCCCACACCCATGATCCAGTCACCTCCCAAACTAAACTATGTAGCAAGACCCTGTCTCAAAAAAATAAAAAACAAGGCAAAAACCAAAAAAAGTGTTTCAATCTTCTTCATTTTAAGAGTTGAAAACTACATTGAAGAAGTGTGCACGTGAAACAGCAGATCTGAAATTTCTAAATAACCAATACGTTCACAAACTCAAACTGTTGGAGAAAGAGAGCAGAGCTAAAAATGAGAAAATTCAACAACTTCAAGAAAAGAATTTGCGTGCTGTCGTACAAACTCCAGGTAAGTCTATTCCTTCTCAAAACAAAATTTGTTAGGAATCCTCATGAAAACAATATTGAGAATTTTTCTTCATAAAGATCTGTTACTTTTTTTCAAGTACAAATCTAACCTTGGCCAGGTGCTTAAAAGATAAATTATCAGTGTGTTGTAGGCCAAAGCAGGATCAATGTGTCTATTAAAAAAGTTACTTTTACTATTTGTAACATTAATTAAAATATTGCCTACCAGTTCAAGTTATAGCATGACTTTATAGTACTTAAAACTTTTGGTTATCTGATCTTTTGACACTGCTAAAATAAGCATATTTTAATTTTCACTGCCTTAAGCTCTTTACTTGACAGTTTTCTGCTAGAGATGATACTTGAGCTCCTAATAGTGAACACCACAAAGCAAACTCAGCTTTTAATCTTGCCAAAGCCTAATCCCCATCTAGTGGAGAAAGAGATTAAATTGGAGCACATAAGCCAAGCAAGTAGGTTTAGAAAACTTGTTTTATAGCCATGTCTTGTTGAGCTTTTCAGGAATATGTTGTTTAGAGAGCAGGGCGGATATTTACATGTAAGGAAAAAGTTTTTATTAAGATGTAATATGATTTAGAGATTCACTTCATTTAACAAAAACTAACTGGAATATTTAATTTAATAGTGTTTTGTTTCTTAATTTTTAAGACATGATTTGTTTTTAAGGTGGAAAGAAAAGAAGTATTGCCTTCAGACGCCAGCGGATGCAAATCGATGAGCCAGTCCCTCCCTCTGAAGTCAGTTCTTATCCAGTTCCACAGCCAGAAGACCCTTACATTGCGGACCTCCTGCAAGTGGCTGATAACAGGTGCACTGGGAGCTGGGGTTAGAGCTCAGTTGTAGAGCGTGTGCGTAGCTGCACAAAGCTCTGGACCAGTCTCCAGCTCTAGTAATAATAATAATCTAATATTCTTTAAGTTAATTGATCACTGATGAGCTGGAAGGAAAACACTAATAGGAAGCCTTTTATCTCCTTGTATCTCCAGTATCTAGCACCGAACTGCACAGGCACTCAATGCTTTCTTAATGATACAGAATATTTTTACTTAAGCAAAATTTGGAACTTTAGTTTCAAATAGATAGTATATCTTGGGTTTCTGTCCATACTTTAAAATAATTTAATGCCATCAAGAACTTTTTGCAGCAGAGTTGTTTAAACAGTTTCATTTCTAAGTTATTTTTTATAGGAATCTTCTCTACTTCAGATTTATTTCAAATGCTAATTGGGCATAAATAGGTTTATAACTAGACTTGAAATTCCTGTCTCATAATCCTTCTTGCTCTGTATTTATACTTTCTTAAATAGGAATCAGATATAAGTCACATTTAATGAAAATTCATTAAGCCTCTCGAGCAGTGCACTGTGCAAGTGTTGCAAGGGTATAAAGATGAGTAAGGTGGTGCTGCCTCTTTCGAGAAGCTCATAGTCCAGTGGTAGAGATGAGACCAGAGAAATGCATGGATGGCTGTTTACAAAACTATGGGAACTCAAAGGTGCAAATGAGCCAGCACTGGGGATACTATGGAGATAGCTGGGAAAGCATTCACACTGGGATATACTAATGGAAATAGCGCACATAAGCACTTGGTAGACTATGCTGAGAATATGGAGGAGTATTCTGATTTATTAGTGTTAATAAATACTAATCTTTAAAAAAACATTGGTTGAAGAATTGGTTAGGATCTCTTCACTCAGTTCTTCTCATACAGTGTTGTGTAGCTGTATTTATGTAGTTAATAATGAAATACTTTGTGTTTTAATCTTCTGTTAGTTATACCTAAGATTGTCAGGGCATGTCCTAGTGTTAAAGAATTATTTAGGCTGAATTGGTGACAGTAGTCTTTTGATTGTCTTGTTATTTTTTAGTTTGCACACATACATTTGTTTGTGTTTGAGTCACTCATGCATTTAGGAGTACACTTGCATATACACATTTCTAAATCAGACCAGTAGAAAACTTTGGTTCCAGAAATAGTAGGAATAAATGTGTTCAGCCTCACTCCTCCATTCTATAGAAAAAGCCCTCTTAAAAGTAGACTTGGCTTCAGGCTTTATTACTCCAGTATAAAAACATGTGGTGTCGTGCTGCAGTAATATAAATGCATTGGATACTTGTAGAATTGAGCTAATTTTCACAAAATCTTCTTTCTCTTAGAATTTACAAATTTCAGAAACAGTAGATGTTTCCAAGTACTTGGAAAATTGCAGTTATCTCAATATTTTTCTTCTTTCCAAGGTTGCGGAGTAGTGTATTAGACAATATAGGTCTAACTGACATCCTAAAACAACATTTTAGTCCCTTATTTCACTTAATGATGTGCGAATTTTGAACTAGATTGTCAGTTTCATAAACCTGAGGATTAGCAGCAGTATCCCCAAGAGGTGTCCTAAGATCAAAATGCAGTAGTATTTTCTTGCATAATGCATGTTTCAAATTATTTGCCAGTCAGTTTTTAATCTAACAAAATTAATTCTCCAAGATGATATACTATATTCATTTTGAGACTTTGGGATCCTTTGACACAGCATTGATCCCTCAATGAGAAGCAAGAAGCGTAAAATTTATAAAATAATTAGTTTGATTTCTTGCTGTTTTTCTTCACACATACATTGACATCAATTATAAATGTCTTGCAGGATCCAAGAACTTCAGCAGGAAGTCCATGAGCTGCAAGAAAAGTTAGCAGTGATGGAAAGTGGTGTGAGAGATTATAGCAAGCAGGTAGGGTTTTTGTTACCTGGCTGTTTGGTGTTGAGATGGTTATGCCCCCATCATCTCTAGAACTGAGTTACACTTTATATTACTGGTACTGTTTTTATACAGCCTTCACCTTTTCCATCATTTTGTGAATTGAGTCAATAGAATGACTCAGATAGTCCCTTTCCTTCATTATACACTGAAATGAATACATTTTCATTTTGTTTTGTTTTTAGTTTAGGTGAAACATTTGTCTATCCACATATGTTTTATAATTGTATTTATTTTCTTATTCTTGTAGATTTTATTATCTTGAACATGAATGTCTTAGGAAATTATTCTTTTGTGTTGAAGTTTTAGTGTGTTTTCTCGGAAAGCTTAAGTAACTCGTAAGGCAATTTCTTGATGAAGTAGGGCTGACTGTGCATCATAGTCATACCAAGCTTTGTCCTTCACACTTTCTGTTGACATCTTGGCTAAATCATAAGATTTTGTTCTCAACATGTTTATTCACATTTAAATTGGATAACATTTTTCATTTTCTGTACATGGTGGCATTTTTTGGAGTGAAAGGATCTGTACATACAAATATAAGTGATAACTTACCTGTTAGTATAAACTGTTAAGTTTTTAAAGTACTTTGAAGATTATTTGCATAAAAGTGAAATTTAAAAAAGGAAATCATGTCAACCCATAATCTAACTTTGTGGAGAAATGTTAAAAATACCAGATATGCAGGAGTTGAGTTATTACTGGTATTTTTCAGTTTATAATTACACTTTTACCACATTTGTTGCAAATATTTCATGAACATAAACTGACCAATCTTTTTACCATCTCTATGAGGTGACTGTAGTATTTAGAGAAAATCGTTTGACCATTCTGATTGAAACCACCAATCTATTGTGATGTTAATCTTAGTTGAGCCCACTTTGCTATTTATCAGTTATGACAATTATTCGTCTTTTACTTGAGTTTATTTTGTATTTCTCAGCACATATTCTGAATTTTGCACACTAGGGCATAGCGAAGGGATAGATTGCATGCTTACCCTGCCTAAAGCCCTGGATTCAATTCCAGCACCAAACATAATAGCAACAGTTTATAATGCCTTCCCTTCTCATGCTGCCACCTGGAAAATACACTTATTTTTACCTTTAATACTGGACCAGGGTTATAGCTCAGTGGCACTGCGCCTACCTGCATATACAAGATCCTGAGTTCAATCCCCGGTACAAAAAAAAAAATTAGCAATATTTATACTCCAGCTCTTAATAGTAAGGGGTTGTTGTTGTTTCTGTCCAAGGCCTAATTGTTCAGATTCATCCCCAATCAAGAGTTCCCTTGTACCTCATAGTCCTGTCATACTGAGCCAATTCTAGTGCCTATAAAATATCACATTGTTTTTGACTTTTGTGTCAGTGCCTGGAATATCTCTCTTCTCTTAGGTTTCTTTATAATCCTATTAGACATATTTTAGTAAAGTCTTTGATAATTTCCACAGACACGCATATCCCATGCCAACTAAATCTGTTAGCTATGGGTGGTCCGATGGCAGTGGGTTATTAGAACTTATTAACATTAATATCACTAAAGTTGGTATGTACCACCCCCCCCCCCACTGCTAAATTTGACTGGCTTAAAAAAAAAAAATCTGTTAGCTATTTTGATGCCAAATATGTATTTCCTTCCTCTATTCCTGAAAGTGAGAAACCGTGTTTTCATTTATCTTTTTATGCCTAGTTTTGTGCTCAAGACTTACTTTTTGAATTGAATGTTTTGGCTTTTATTCTTCCTTCCTTTTCTTCGCTAAGAAAGCCACAGCTTGAAAGATAGTGAATTTTTCCAAATTCTTGGATATGAATTATCACCAGTTCAGTTTGTAGTTATGTAACTACTTTTTGGTTCTTTATCTGAATTAAGTTAATATCTTAGTTAATAATTAAGTAAATAATTAGTTAATAATTAAGACCCCACATGCCTATCTTTTTTCATATCGAGAGTCAGTAGCAACAATTTAACTTGCTTTGTGTTTTACATTTATTCTGTATTTATTCCACCAGGCACTGAAGTAGTTGAGACTCAGTTCCAGTACTTGAGCATGTATATAATCTACTGACAAGTTTGTGTTTATATAATCAATTGTTTATTCTTAGAAGAGGGGAGAAAAACCCAAAATTAAAATAAAAGGAAAATACTTTTGGAATGATACTGACATTTTCTGAATTACTTCCTTTTACTCTGCATATATACATTATGTAATGAATACAAATGTGAATGTTAAACTCTTGTATACATCGTAAAACATAAGAAAAACGTGACTGAGTAAATGTTCAGTTATTAACCATTTGGCTCAGAACCAATATTTTTAAAGTGATAGCTTGACTTTGTGTCTGCAGATCGAGCTACGAGAACGAGAGATAGAGCGACTGTCAGTTGCTTTGGATGGCAGTCGCTCTCCAGATATCTTGTCTCTGGAGACTAAAAATAAAACCAATGAAAAGGTGATTGCTCATTTAAATGTACAGGTAATAGCTCTTACCATTATTTCACTGTATATATAAAACTCTAGGTGTTTATAATGGTCTCTGATTTGTAAAAGTGACAAGGCTGTACATTGACGTATTTATAATGGAAGAAAATTTAGTAGAGCCCAAGTATGTAGAAGTAGGGTGCAACTATTCACAAATCTTGTTCTTAAAGAATATTTAACAAGTCAGGAATTAAGGCACATCGTAATGGTAAAAACTTAGAATAAACGGTGGGCACATTATGCTCTTCAGTTTGTGTCTTAAAAACTGAATATATGTATTTAGAGAAAACACTTTAAGGAACATAGCAAAATGTACTAGCAGAGTTTATCTTTGTGCAATAACATACCCTTCTTGATAGCTTTTTATATTGAAAGAGATGGTTTTAATTATGTAATATAAATATGTTATATATTATTGACATATATAGGAATATGTAATACATAAATATATATATATATATACACACATATATGTGATTATACATCTTTCTCAAACCTGTAACTTGCATTCACTCGTGCCATGCATTTGACCTGAGTTGAAAGAGCAGGAGAGTTCTACACTGTGTGATATGTGACCTTTAGACATTTAGGTATGTCAGCACTGCCTCAACTGTAACCAGAAAGTATAAAAAATACCAGCACTAGCTCTAGGGCAGTGCTGTCCAATAGAAACATGATATGAACCAAATACATGGTTTGAACTTTTCAGCTGCCTGTTAAATAAAAAGGGAGTACTTCATTTTAATAATGTATTTATCTTGCTGTGTCCAGAATCTTATTTTAACATGTAATGTTTTTATTTTTTCCTTAACCAGGACTTTGAAATATTGTATGTATTTTATATTTGGAATGCATCTGATTTTGGATTAGCCAGACTAAGTGCTCAGTAGCCACATGTAGATGAAAGTGGCCACTCTATTTTAAACAGCACAGTTTCATGTCATCATTGTGATATGTCTGTGTCATGTTGCTGGATATTGTGTTGGGGGAGACGTTCACATAGGAGACGTTCTTTCTTATTCTTCTGTACAGAAAAGCAAAGCCAGTGGGTGTATATTTTCATTAATGTGTAGGCACATATTGTCAGTTTTGCAAATAAAATCAGTATTTAAGTTTACAAATATAAAATAGTTATAGTTTAATTTCATTATCTTCTAAAAAACAGATTTTAAAAATATTTTTATAGTTCTGGATTTAAGGTAATTTTCCAATTCATATATCTTACGATTATAAATTCAATTTAGGTTGACTTCCTTCAGCAAGCTAATAAAGACCTGGAGAAGCGTATTCAAGAGCTTATGGAAACCAAGGAAACAGTGGCAACTGAAGTAGTTAATTTAAGTAACAAAAATGAAAAACTCTGCCAGGAATTAACTGAAATAGACCAGTTAGCACAGCAGCTAGAAAGACATAAAGAAGAAGTGCTTGAGACCGCTGATAAAGAACTCGGGGAAGCAAAGGTAATCTGCCTCGTTGTGAGAGTAGGGATTAATTCTGCCAGGACACAGTGAAGCCTGGGCCCTTTTGATTCCATATTCAGGTTTTTGATTTGTTTTGTGTATGTGTTTTTCATTTCTTTTGATAATTCAAAACTTTCTTAAGGATTGTTTACAACCTCTAAACAATTGCATTTGTTCTAGTTAAGAGTTTTTCAAAAACACACATATTCTTGAATAGAGCTCTTAACTCTGTCCTGTTTTCTTGAAAATTTCTATGAAGCTTGCTCTGTAATTTTTTGCTCAAGAACCGTTTAAAGATGTTTTAAAAGTCTGTGCTGTTGCCCACTTGCACAACAGATTGGCTTAACAGAAGATTCCGTTAGGCTATGGCTGTGTTTTCATTTTGGCATTTTTACCCTCCCAGTTGCGATAAAGGTGATCCAGATTGATGAAAGCAGGTGGAGAGAAAACAAGTAGCATGATAAAATTAGAAAGCTCAGCACCATAAAAGATATCCTAAAAGTCTTACCAGAATATGGCAAAAAAAGATTCTCAAGTGCCCTTTTCTTTCAGGGGTTACAGATAGGTCCCTGTAAGCATTCAGGATATTGAAAGATCAAAGAGAATCCTTAATTTGCATCCTCTTCACTGAAACTGAGTAGGAGCGCTACAGCCTCAGCTCTAACTAGTGAGAGAAAAACACTAGAATTACTACACAGTGGTGTAGTAATAGTATTCTTAGGCTTCTGGATGTTTACCTAATAAACTTTTTTTTCCTAGAAAGAGATTAAAAGAAACCTCTGTGAAATGCAAAATCTTGAAGAAACCATGGCAAAACTTCAACTGGTGAGTTGATACCATATTGTAATAATGACATTTTAGGGGCTGGGGATTTAGCTCAGCGGCATAAGCGCCTGCCTTGCAAGCAGGCAGTCGTGAGTTCGATTCCTGGTACCGATAAAAATGAAAAAGGACCAAAAAAAAAAAAAAATGACATTTTAAATAAAATTTTCTGTGCTTTATTTTTCATATGATTTTTATTGAAATACAATTTACATGTCATAATATTCACCACTATACAGTGTTTTTAGTATAGTCACAAGGTTGTACAACCACCATGACCATCTAAACCCAAAACATTTTCATCACTTTAAAAGAAACCTCATTCTCTTTATCAGCCACTCTCCATTCTCTGCTCCCCTAAAAACCATTCTTCTAGTTTGTATGTATTTGTCTGTTCTGACTATTCAGTGTAAACAGAATCATGTGTGTGTGGCCCCTTGTGTGTGGCTCCTTTGTCTTCGCATATTTTCAGGTTTGTGTACCTTCTAGCATGTGTACATACATTTCTTTTTACAGCTTATATTCTACTGTATGGACATAAAGTTTTATATTTTTATAATTCTTTAATCTTTTATATAGTAATAGGTTTGTAAGTGAAATCAGCTTCCAAAAATCTGTTGGAAATTTAACTTTGTTTAGATACTTTAAGATTTATTAATTTATTAAAGTTAAAATCAGAAATTGGTAATTACTTGATATATTTGCTATTAGTCCACTAAATAGTCCACTTTCAATAACTTTATTTGGTATGATGCAAACCATTTTCCTAAGTCATACTACTTGTTGTTGTATTCTTCTAATAAGAAAAACAGTAATCCCAGCAAAAAGATAAACACAGCATCCAGTCCAGCACCAGCAGAGAGAATATCCTGCTGACAGATTGAAAGTGGGTGGTCACCTGGAAAACTGAGGTGTTTGTGTTACTGTTTTTAAAAACCTGTTAAGTTGGATGTTTCTTCAAAGAGTAGGAACAAAAACATAGATACTGATTTTCATGTGTTCTCATTGTATATATTTTTAATACAGTTTAGCTGCAATGTTCTGGTGACATAGTCAGTTAAAAAGGAAATCATGTATTGATATGCTGGTACGTGGTAGGTGCTCAAATACTTGTTGATTTTTGTGTGTCTAAATATAATGGCATGTTATATCTTACCACTGCCCTCTTTAAACATCAGCTTTAAATTTTTTTATTATACAAGTACATATTTTTTAAAAAAGTAGCTCAGTGTGCTAAAAACAAATAAAAGGAAACTCAGCTCTACTAATTCTACCATTCCCAAAGGAATACTGACAAAATTTGGATTTTTATGGTGCTTTTGGCCACAGTTGATAATCAACTTCAGTTGATACTCTATTTGATTAATTTAAGTGAGTTCACACACACATAAATGAATTACTGTTATATAAGTGTGCTTATAAAAATAATCTATTTTAAAGCCTAGCGTTGCTGGCACATGCCTATAGTCCCATATACTCTGAGGCAAGAGGCAAGAGGCTGAGGCGAGAGAATCACAAGATCAAGGCTGGCCCATGCAACTTAGTGAGACTTTGTCACAAAAATAAAAAGCCCTGGAGATGTGGCTCAGTGATAGAGCGCTTGCCAGGCAAACATGTTTGAGACTCTAGGTTCAATCCCTGTTGCCATCTCAAAAGAAAAGTGAAGTTCTCTAACATTTTTAAAAGTTATTAGAAATCTTAATTAAAGTATTAAAATTTTCAGGAATTAGACTTATGCCAAAAAGAAAAAGAAAGACTGAGTGATGAACTCCTTCTAAAATCAGATCTGGAAACTGTTGTTCATCAGCTTGAACAAGAAAAGCAAAGACTTACCAAAAAAATTGAAAGTTTTGCATTAACAGGTAAGATGAAAAATGTTAATAACTTAAAAAATGATTTTGATTTGCTCTTGATATGTTAGTTTTCTTAGTAGATCTTTCATTTATTCAATTAATATTCGTTGAGTGTTTACTATGAATCAGTAACTATATTAGATATTGTACTATTATAGTAGAAATCTTTCTCCCTCAAAGAGCTTAAGAATTCTTTCTATTTTTGACTAGTTGGTTGGTGCATTGGACCCTGCCTAAATATTTTGTAATAGAACTAATCCTTTGAGTCATACTTTGTAATTAATCCACTTATAATAGAAATAGTCTTTAGAAAATACAATTAAAATTAAGGCGATGACCATTCTGAAATAATACAAAATTAAAGTACAGAATCATTTTAAGTAAATGTAATCTGTTTACCTAAACGCTATGCTTGGCTATTTCTGTTTGATGACCCACTTAGCTCCTCAATCCACTCAGATTAGTTTCTATGCCCACATTATCAACAAAACTGCTCTTGTTAGCTCGGCAGGGTGGCTCCTGTATTCCCAGCAGTCTGGGAAGCTGAAGCAGGAGGATTACAAGTTTGAGTCCAGCCAGGAAACTTAGCAACTTACCACATACCTGTCTCAAAATTTAAAAAGGGCTAGAGAGAGAATTTAGGGCAGAAGCCATAGATTCAATCCCCAGTACCACCAGAAACAAACAAAAAATACGAAAAGCAAAAAACAACAAAAAAAACCCCTGTTGTTGTTGAGATCATCATTCAAGTCTATTATGCTAAATGTAATATACACTTTCATTCATTAGTTTGTTTGCCTTCTCATCATTAACACAGTTGCCCTTTCCTTCTCCCTCTCCTACTTTGGTCATTCCTTTTTGGGGTCAGTTTCCCAGCTCATCTTCCATTTTACATTACACACCATTCATTTCTAGCTTTTAGCCTACTTCCATTAGCATAATTAATATTAGCTATGATTTCTATGCTTGAATCCTCAGCCATTGTTTGGCATATAGTAAATGCTAAATACATACCTATAGAATGGATGCAAGAAGAGTGAATCAGAACATATCAAGAATAATCCTTCCATGCCTCAGAGTTCTAGTGAGCACCCATTAAATTAGGTTGAACTCCATGAAATTGCCAGTGCTGTAATTAGTTACTGTTGACTTATGAAAAGATGATTTCTGTGATAAAACCTAGTAATGATACTGATTTGGAGAAAAACCTGAGTTATTTTGCTCTTTGTTTATATATGTGTATATTATATTAAGTTCAAGCTTAATGTTAAATTTGTTCATATTATAATTGATTGTTTGCATGTATTATTTTTTAATTGACTTTCACATGCCTAGAAAGTAAAACATGAAAATTTATTGCTTCATTCTGTCATTTATTGTTTCATTTTGGCATACTAAATAGTATCCATCCTATAAGACAAAACAGGGGGACTTTGTCTCATTGGACTTTCTTTAAACTGTAATGCTTTGCTTTTTTGTTTCTCCTCTCTCAATATTTACATCTTTGTTATATCTGGTACTTAAAAGTGACACAAAACAGTTCATGATTTCTGTACTTTTTAAGTTACTTACATTATTTATTTGGCTAATTAACATCATAGATGAGATATTGTTTTATGGTTTAACTACTTTAAATTGCAGAAAGAGAACTAACTTTGGAAGTTGAGAGGATGAGACTAGAACATGGAATAAAACGTCGAGACAAGTTACCTTCTCGTTTAGATACATTTCTCAAAGGTATAGAAGAAGAACGAGATTATTATAAGAAAGAGCTAGAAAGACTCCAACATATCATACAGAAAAGATCTTGCTCTATAAATTACTGTGCACGTGAAAAAAATTCAGTATTTAAAACACCAGAAAAGGTAATATCCTTTTATAAAAATTGGTAAGAAAATGCTTTGAAGCTCTACTGTTGTATTAAATGTAACCTGGGGGCCAGGGATACTGCTCAGTGGCACAGCACCTGCCTGGCAAGCACAAGGTCCTAAGTTCAATTCCCAGTACTACCCCCCCCCCCAGTCTAATCTGTTTCTATGTGCTTTTTGAAAGTTCTGATTTTGATTTCTGTTTTTTCGGTGACATATGCTATGAGAACTCTGCATTAATTAGGAGGACTACTCAACAACAAAGTAGCATACCAATTCCTGGAAATTAAGAAAAGGTTAAATAGTTGATTCATGGGAGAAATATAGAGGCCTCTGGGCTTCTGGAATATGAGACCCAGAGGTTTATGGCCATGGACATTTCCTCTCTTTCTAGAATTGACTTTGTGTATCAGTTACATTGTTTCCCTGATGGCAGAGTGGCTTTGTCCACGTGATACGCAGTATGTCTTCGTGTCACTCTGACATTGGTTAGACCAGTCAGAAAGCTGTGTCACTTTCTACTGACCAGGCATTTTTCCTATTAACTGTTTTGTGAGACATGGTAGAAATTGGAAGCAGGTGAGATGCAGATTTGTTATTTATTACAACTGTATTTGCAAGTTGATAGTCTAAAGATGCTCACCTTGAGAGTCAGGGGTATAGAGTCCCAACTATATTAGAAGCTACAGCAGGAAGATTAAGGTCCAACTGGGCAACTCAGCAAGACGCTATCTCCAAAAAAAGTGATAAAGATACTCATTTTGTGTATCATTTTTATTCCTATTATTTCTCTTTTCTTCCTCCTGCTGCTGCTGCTTCTAATTCCACTACTTTTTCTATTTCTTCTGCTGCTGTTGCCACCTTCTTCTCCTCCTTCTCTTCCTCCTCTTCCTCCTTTTCCTTGTTTTCTTCCTCCTCTTGTTTTGTTTTGTTTTGTTTTATGGTGCTGAGGATCAAATCCAGCGCTTTGTGCTTGGTAGGCAAGCACTTTGTCCCTCAGCTATACCTGTAGGCCTGTGTATTATTTGGGTCTCCTGTTGTATGTATTATTTAAAGTTGATTGTGACTCATGAAGGGTTAAAATCATATGTTTTAAGTCTTATTTTTAGTATTTTATAAGCATCATTTGAATTCTTTAGTTTTTTTCTCTTCTTTCTTTAAGTTTTAGAGCTATAGAGGTCCTGAAAGTTTAGATGGCTCTAATATTGTCGACACACTAGATAAAACTAGGGAGGTTGGGAGGAAAGCATAAAAACTCAAAATACCACCTTTTATATCTTTTCCTATGTCCATCGTCAAATAGTTTATTGTCTTCTGGTAGACTTTCCTTTTTAATCTCATTGATTAATGGCCAAAGTTGGATTTATAGTTATCAGTATAAACAGCATGTTGTTACCTATTATAAGCAAAATAAACTGGTGAGAAACTATAGTGCAGGTTAATTTATATGTTACTGAGTTGTTTTTGTGTTTCTATATCTTTAGGATATAGGGAAAATACATCATTGAATTGATTTTTTTCATTATATAGAAGGATCTTCCACAAAATTATTGGTCAGTTTAATCAATAGCATTGAGTAGATAAAAATCTCAAAGTATCTGTTCTAAATATGTGATACAGTTGCTTGATGTGGATTCACAATTGAAGGACAAGTGAGAGATAATGGTTAGACACTGGTGCAATTAGGAGACACCTTTTCTCCCCTTCGTCTTAGTTTCTTGAAGTGTTATAGTACCAGGCACAGAATAAGAATTCATTTTCTGGAGTTCAGGAAGCTCAGAGTATTTTTAGAGCCCCAGTAATAAATTGCAAGGATCATAGGAAATAGTAGATAAGTGTGAGTGAAAAAGGTGAAGTGTCAATACAATTTTGAGTTCTGGAAACTGGAGGAATACGTTTCCTACCTAAAATTAGGCATTTTAAACCCATCAGAAACACTTTTTGGATAAACAACAAAGACTTCTCTCAAGCTGAATTTGGTACTAGCTTTGAGTTTTCAACCTGTTTTATGGCAGATTGTTAGGCACTGCTTCTTGGGATGATACTCAGAAAAAAACTGTCAATTTTTAATGTCAGTCCTTTATCAATAAAATCTTGTTGATTTTCATCTGTGTTGAGCGGGCCCTGTCTCCTTTCCCCTTGTACTCACCGTGGTGCTTTCTAGTTGGGGGCCTTATACAAGTTCCATTTCCACAAATGGTCTTTGTAACCTGGGAGAAACTGCCTAACATTGTGGAAGCCTGTTTCATCATTTGCAAAAGAAGTATGTGACTATAACTTTCCTGTGATGATTAAATGAGAAAATTTGTATATGGGTCCAGTAAATGGCTCCCAGTAAATGATTTATTTCTTTATTATTTGCTGGCTCAAATCAAATCAGGTCTAATGCTGAGTGCTGTGAGACATGCAATATTAAGATAGAGAAGATAGTTCCTGTCCTTGTGGCTTTCAGTGCTCTGCATGTGTATGCTTATTCTTGAGTGTTAGGAATAATGGGTGTGGTGAAGGGGAGTGAGGTGTTACCCATTAACACTAATACAGATACTATACACAAGATACATTTACAGAAGAATTAAGAGGTTGTTTAGGTAGAACAACCAATAAATGTTTGGGGAACTCGTGGTTTACTATGCACTGAACATGTAATGAACTTTTAAATGTCATTTATCATAAGTGTTAATAAAGAAGGTACAGGAATGGTTCAGAAGACCATGAAAGAACATAGATCTAAATTAGATGGGAAATTTGGAAAGATGTTTTGCAGAACGTGACATTTAAGCTGACACATAAATAGTAATTAAAATAGACTACTAAATCTTTATTCATTGAGCTTTCCTTTTCTAGACTATGAACTATTTCCTTTCTGTAAGATTTCTTTATTTAGATGTAGTCAAGTTACAGGTTTTCTTTTACAGTATTAAACTTTGAGTCCTGAAATCTTAATCTGCTTTGTGTGGTTAAACATCTTGTCCTTTAAGGGATCCAGATAACTAATCTCTTCCATTGTGCCTTGAGTTTTGCTTGTTTAGTCATGGAAATGCCTTGTTTCCAAGAGGACAGTGAGCAGTACCTCACCAAATCTACATTAGCATGGTACATACACAGTAGATACAGTAATAAAGGCTGGCACTCTTTTTAATATGTCAAATTATCACATTATCCCTATGTGGGACTTTTACAGTTAGTGTTTTAATATTGAAATAATATAAGTGTACTATCTTTATTTTTTACAATACCAAAGACGTGGGTCTTTTAAATTGTTCTAGAATAGTAGGCGTGTAGTTGTTCTACAAATGCTAGAAATACCTAAGTCATTGGACATCTGTAATATATACTGCCTGGTAGAAATAAATACTTATATTTATCTGACTGCAGAAATATACCTCGTGTAATCTTCATATTCAGTCGTGGAAAACATCAAGAGTGTGCTGTGCTACTGTATATAGTGGGTAAACGCGCACCTCTACTCTCCTGGTCCTTTCCCTGGAAAGGGTTCTAAACTAGTGGTTTTCAGAAATTGTGATGTACCAGAATCACTTGTAAGGCTTGATAAAACACAGTTACTAGCCCTTATCCTCAGAGTTTCTAAGTTACCACATACAAATTGTTATGCATAACAAATTCATGCTTCTGTTCTAGGGCTTACAGTCTACTACTAATATGAACAGTGCCAGTATGACTGTCAACACATCTAATAGAATCTGATCAAGTAGTATCATTAGTGACTGAGTCCCTTCCTGGGAACCTGAAATCCAGGAAGTTTACCCCAGTGTTGTCAGGGGTTTCATCTGCTTAAAGTATGTCCTTTTTTTCTTCTTTTTTCTTTTTTTTTTTTTTGTGCCAGGTATCGAACTCATGATCTCATACTTGCCAGGCTGGCACAGCATGCCGCAGAGCTATATCCTCAGCCCCAGGATGTTCTTGTTTGTTGGCATCTTTCTATCAGTCTCATCATCAGAGTTTTCGTGACAACCATGAGATAATTATGACAAATGATAACTTCTCTCTTAATTATGTTTTAGGGCGATTACAATGCAGAAATTCATCTGGTCACAAGAGAACGAGATGAACTCCAGTGTATGCTAGAAAGATTTGAAAAATATATGGAAGATATACAGTGCAATGTTAAATTATTGACAGCAGAAAGAGATAAACTAAGTGTCTTATATAATGAAGTAAGAAATTTATTATAATTAACTCAATAGATTATTTAGAACCAGATAGATATAACTATAATGGAACCGATAAATATCCTGCAGATCTCTGTAACATGTGAACCTTTTAATAGTTCTTCATAATTATAAGTAGTAGGAGTTTCTGTTGTTATGTAAATTCTCAAAGGCAGAAATTTGGTTTTTTTTTTTTTTCTTCCCCTCTTCAATCTTTTCTAGCTTATCTGTGTTTTAGGTGTGTTAATCACCTTTCTCTACAAGTATCTGACTCTGAGCCAAGTTTATCCTTGATTTAGACATGTCCCAATATGCCTGAATCCCAGGGATATACTTGGGTAGCAACTGCTGTTTGGAATGGTAGCTGTTAAGGAGCTTACCCTCTAGTGACAAAAAGACACCTTTAGGAAGCAGGATTTGGTATAGCCTGGCCTCGCTACACAGGCTCAGTTGTCATAGGGCACAGTAAGTGCACAAAGCCTAGTCTGTCCCCTACATTTTTTCCCAGGCCCATCTCCCTTGAATTGCTAGTATTTCTTTGACAGAGGGGAAAGGACACACAAGTAGGAGGTTGAGATAACAGAACTGTTGTCATTTTTGCAGCTTTTTAAGGATTTAACTGCAAGCTGTTCCACTTCTGGACTTCCCATAGTTGTCTTAGATTTGAGCTTTCCTGGATCTGCTTAGTTAATTCCTACTTGTCTGTCTGCCATCTAGTTTTCAACATTTTGTAACTGTCACCTCTCAATCTCCATGTCCTTTTGGTGTTACTATTTAATTTTAATCCCTTTTCTCTCACTTTGTCGACATTTGGGAAGACAGTAAAAATAGAATGTGTTCAGTATGCCTTTTTTTAAAAACAGGGCATATCCATGTTTTTTATTTGCTTCTTTTAATTGTTTAGGCTCAGGAAGAATTATGTGCACTAAGACAGGAATCAACCAACACCACTGTCCCTAGTAGCCTTGTTAATATTATGGAAAAGGAAAAGGAACTTGCTGTATCTGATTTAAGAAGAATGATGGCAGAAAAAGAAGATTTAAGAGAAAAGTTAAAAGTAAGTAATAAAATTGACGTATTTTTGGAACAGGGTTTGTTAAGAAAGAGACCTCCATGCGTGTGTCATATGACATTACTATTTAGAATGTACAGCTATATCATAAGTGGCATAAACAGCACGCCTTCCAGGTTTAGACTACCTTGTTTATGACTGGCCTCCATCTAAGAATGGTTTTTGCATTTTTAAACTGTTAAAAGCATATTTAAAGAGGAAGAATATTTCATTGTTGCTAAATAGTATTGTTGGGAGTTGTTAACATATTGGCTGTAGCTTTTTATGTGGTCCAGTGCCAGTCTATCTCTGAACTCAAAAGAAAATTTTTCATGTGGAAAGCGATGAAATTTGCACATACCATGCAATTCACCCATTTAAAGTGTGCTCACAGTCTTGGGCAGCCATCACCACAGTCATGTTTAGGAGTTGTTGTCACCACAATAGGATGTTTGGTACCTGTTAACATCACATCCGTTTCCCCCAGGTCTCTTCACAGTAGGTAACCACTAATCCAGTCTCTGTTTCTGTGGATGTGCCTGCCTTGGAATTTCATGTAAAAGTATGGTGGGTGTCACACCCCTATTCCCCACAACACACACACACTGAGGGTTGAAACCAGGGCATGGGAGGCAAGGCCTCCATCCCTGAGCTAATTCTCCAATTCAAATATGTGATTATTGTGTCTGGCTTCCCATTATAAAGTTTGCAAGGTTCATTCATGAATAATGTTTGTGTACAGCTTCTTGTGCGAATGTTTTCATTTCGCTTGGGTAGATACTCTAGGTCATCGCCCAAGTCTGACTTTAACCAGCAAGGCCAGGCTGTTTTCCACATTGGTCATACCATTTTACCGTACCTCGAGCCATAAATACTGGTTCTGATTTTTCCACATTCTCACCAGTCATACACTTTTTTCAGTCATATTTATTCTAGTAGGTATAGAATATTCTTTGTAGTTTTGATTACATTTCCCAAGTAGTTAATGATGATGAGCATGTTTTCATGTGTATTGTCCATTCTGTATCTTCTTTTTAAAATTCAGATCATTTATCCATTTTTATATTGGATTATTTACCTCATTATTTTGACTTGCAAGAGTTCTTTGTACATTCTTGATTATGATCATCCCTTTATCAGATCTGTAATTTGTAAATACTTCTCATTATTTTATTTTGTGACTTTTATTTTAATTCATGACTTTGAGTCTGCTCGGCAGGCGCTTATGCTGCTGAGCTGTATCTCTGGCTCAAACACTTCTCATTCTGTGGGTCTTCCTTTTACTTTCTTAATGAAAGTCTCTTTGAAGTACAGAAGTTTTAGATGAAATCTTAGTTTATTTTTTTTTTCCTTTGACATCATTTTTGGAGGCAGTATTTATTTAATTACTTTTATAATCTCAAAAATGTTAATACCTATAAAGTGCTTTACAGTGCTCAGCATGTTATAATACCAAATACTGTTATTATAGATTCCATAGTTGCAATATTATGAAATTAATGCTTTGAAAGTAGCAACCAGGGGCTGGGGATTTAGCTCAGTGGCATAAGCGCCTGCCTTGTAAGCAGGCAGTCGTGAGTTCGATCCCTGGTACCGATAAAAAGGAAAAAGACAAAAAAAAAAAAAAAATAGCAACCAGCAGTTGGGCACAGTAGCACATGCTTGTAATCCTAGCTACTTGGAAAGCAAGAGCGAGGAAGACCACAAGGTCGAGGGCATCTTGTGGTGGCAAGTTAGATCTTATCTCAGAATAAAAATCAAAAGGGCTGGGGAAGTAGTCCAGTGATTAGAGTGCTTGTGAGAGGCTCTGAGTTTAATGCTCAGCACTGCAAAAAGGAAGGAGGGAGGGGCTAAAATTTGAAATAAGCATTTTAAGGATAATATTTATGTCACAAATTTTCAGTTAAAGTACACTTTTAAGAATGTTTTCCATTGGAATCTTTACAATACTGGCTTTTAGAAAGTGTTTTCTAATTTTTAAAAAAACACTAAAATTCCCAAATAGGAACCTGCTGTGTAATACTGAAGCTTTTAGCACAATCTACTCACTTCCTTTTTCTTATTTGTTAAAATGACCAAGAAATGTAAAAATAGGATTTAAAAAATGTGATATTTGTGAAAACTTGCAAGAGGCAATAATCAAATTACCAGAATCCTTCTGGTAGCAGGATTTTGTGAGTTTGCAACAGATCTTTTACTTAAAAATTGTACTACTCATTTGCATCATTAAGCTTCCCCTACAAGTCTAGACAATATACACTAATAAACTCTCCCTGAAAATTTCTCTCTCTCTCAGTTAATAACTGAGACCTATCAGTGCTGCCTCTTAAAAAATATTGAACATTTATTAAGCCTTTTCCATATAGGAGGTCCTGTTTGACCTCATGTTTTTTACATGAGCTACCAGTAAATCTTCATAGAAGTCTTTTGTTTGTTAGATACTGCTTACGGGTGAGGTTACGCTGAGTTTACGTAACTTGCCTCATCTCGCTGAGCAGTGAGTCACGAGTCTGGCTCCTGAGTTTATTATTTTCTGTAAGTTTGTTGACATCTTTGTGTTCTCTTGATGTTATTCTATTCTGGTCATCAGTCTCTCTCATCTATATTGTTGTCTTAGTGGCTTCTGTACTTCATTTTGCTCATTTGAACTTATACCTAATACTGAAGTTGGAGTCATCTTTTAAAGATAACATGTCAAGCCCATCATTGCATATTTAAAATCCATTAACTGTTCAAGGGTTTTAGTGATTACTTCTTTTCCATAACTTTACTTCTGCTGTTCCCATTCCCAGCCTCCTTTTTCTTAAGATTCCAGGTTTAATGGACTTTCTCTTGGCTGTAGCCTTCTATAGTCCCCTTGTCTAACAATTTATCCTTTACGTCCTGATTAAACATCATTTTCTGATAGGAAGTGAACCTTCTAGACTCTGGATTGCTTTTGATACATCACCATTGGATTCCTTTTTCTAGAAGAATATTCCTGAATTTTATTTTTAGTCTGTTGTTTAATCTTTTTTTTTTTAACCAACTCTTGCAACTGTGAAGTCAGAGATGGTCCAGTTTATTCACCACTGTATCCCTAGCTCTTTGCTTGATGCTCTTTTATTATTATTATTATTATTATTATTATTATTATTATTATTTAAAGAAAGACAAAACAGAAAACAGGCAGAAATAGCACATACATTCAAAGAAAAGAAATAAACAGTAATAAATCACTAGTTGACATATACATATTGTCCCCCCACAAATAGTCGTTAAAGACACAAAAGTGGAACATATAAATGGGAATTCAACCAGGGAGACTGCAAACAGTTCTGTTCAACTATCCAACAAAAACTAAGTAATATGGCTATCAATCCTATACACTTAGACATGTACGCATTTATCAATATCTTCATTTATGTTGAGACCTAACAAAACTTATTAGATTAAAATCCTTCTGAACAAAGATGGATTTCACATCATAATACTCCGGAATCAGCACTTGGTACTGTAGTGCCCCTTTCTTTCTTTCAAAGTATTTGTTCATTTCATCATGTGTCATGAGATCAGTTCTCATAAACTGTTTATAGGTTTTACGCAAGCGTGAGTCTTAACATGTATCTCTATCCTTTCTATATTAGAGGGAGAAACAGAACAAAGCAGGACAGAACTAAACATGTTCCTATAGACACATAAACTAAAAAGACATATAAAACTGCTGTATAAGGAGTTCTACTATGGTCACTTTGCTGTTTCTTGTTATCATCAACAGAATTGGCTATATCTTTAGATAAAGTATAATTGAACATATCAGTACATAACAGAATTGACAGAAATACAACTTTATAGATAGTGTAGAGCTACAAAAACAGGTAGTAATCAAATCAGAATGGATATTGTGGTGAATAATTGTCATTTTCAGGATAGTTGTCTATACTTCTCAACTTGATACCAGCACCCTAACAGTTCGGATAAAATCTGTCAATAAAGCAGCAATCAAGTCAAATTTAACTAAGATCAGTCATGATACAACAGTGTAAGTAATACAGGGATCCTGATTGAGTTAATAGGAAATTAAAGATGACCACTGTGCTATGTCCTGAAATTTTCAGGACAGCAGTCTGTGCCCTCAGATCCAGTGCTTGTATACAAACTAGGATGGAACAAGTTCCAACCAAGCAGAGTGATGCGAGTAATAAGGGTTTTAATTCCTGAAACACTATTAGCTATATCTTATGCTGGTTTTTTTTTGAAGACTATTCCTCCCCATTGTCCCCCAGAATGAGCTGTGCATTTTGGGGTGTCCCCAACATTCACAGTTTTATATTGGGGGGGGCAACCTGCTATTTACCTAAGTGTTTCTGAACTTTCTCACTCCTGGACTGGATTTCTAGTTGTATTTCTTCATTTATAAGCCTGTCTGTTCAACCTATCCATACTTAACTGGTCCAGTTACCCCTATTACTCTCTGGTTCCCTATCACATCCAGTTCTGCTTTCTCATATATGATTTTGGTCGATGTAACCTTCTTCAGGCTAATTATATTTCCTATAAAGAGCCTTTTGGTGGACCCTACCTCTTGATCCACTCTGCCTGCGATTCTCTCTTTTCTCCCTTAAGCTAGTGTATCTAGGCGATCTATATTAGAAATTATATCCAACCTTCATTGCCTCATTTCTGTTCTGCTCTTTTTCTGTCATTAGTTGTCTGTTTGTCTTTTTATTTCTCTTTTTGCTTCATTCATTGTGGCCTCTCTGCCACTGTTTCTGAAATCCTGGTACTTTTCTCTGTCTTTAGAATGTCTTGCAGTATTCTCTGTAGAGTTGGATTGGTGGTTGCGAATTGCCCCAGTTCCTCTTTATCTTGGAAGCACCTTGTTTCTCCATTAATTTCTAGGGACAGTTGTGCAGGATATATCAATGTTGACTGGAGGTTATTGTCTTTCAAGGCTTGGATTATTTCTCCCCATGCTTATCGTGATTTGATGGTTTGTATTGAGAAGTCTGCTTTAATTCTGATGGGTGTTCCCTTGTAAGTGATCTATTTCTTGTCTCTGACAGCTTTTAATATTCTGTTCTTACATTGGATTTCTGGAATCTTGATTATTATATGCCTGGGTGTAGTTCTGTTTTTGTTGTAGGTGGCTGGAGTTCTGTATGCCTCATACATCTAATATCTTTTCCTTTTCCTATGTTTGGAAAGTTTTCCTTAATTATTTCTGTGAATAGCCTTTGCAGTTCCTTTGTTTGTATCCTTGTTTCTTCATTCACATTCTTTATTGTTAAGTTATAGATCCTCTTGTCCTCTTCTAGCCTTTGTATTTTTACTGCTTGTTTCCTTGTTATTTTTAAGAAGTTTTTCCTTTCATAACCCCACATTACAAACCTGTCCTCCAGTTTAGATAATCTATCCTTAGTTTCTTTCAAGCTGTTATGCCAGCTTTCAATAGAATTTTTAGTTTCCTGGTAATCTCTTTGAACCTGCTTCATATATTCTATGTTTTCTCTATTTTCTTCATCAAACAATTCTCCCCTTCTTTTTTGTTCTTTCATTCTACCATCTGTTTTTTTCTTTGAAGGTACTTATCATTTCTTTAACTACTCTACCTACATCTTGTTTTATTTGGTTAAATACTTCACTTTTGAACTTGGCTATGAGGTCCCAAAGATACTACTTTATGTCTATTGGTGCCATGCCTGATATTGCATGTTTTCAGTCTTCATTCTCTTTTGCATTTACCTTTCCGGATCAGTGTTCTCAGGATTGGGGACTGAGGACCCTTTCTTGTTTCCTCTTTCCATGCTTTTTGTTCCTTCCATACAGGCGTATATAGGAGGCCCAGTTTCTTTCTTTGTTGGTTTTAGTTTGTCTGAAGTGTGCTGCTAGGTGGTCCTACCCACTGCAGTGTACTAGGAGGTACAGACCCAGAAAGCCTAGGTTGGGCCCACCACTCCAGGTCAATCTACTGAATGCTTCACTGTGTTAGGGTGCACTGCCAGGTGCAGGGACTTGGTTTGGGCTAGCCTAGTGGGCCTCAGTCTGTGGCGTCACCCAGGTCAAGTGCTCCCCACCAATCCTGCTTGAGAGGAGAATATGAAGTCACTGCAGCAGTTACTTGAGAGGAGACTGAAGTCACTGCAGCACCCTGTTCTGGCCAGTCTGCCTGGTCTCAGAATGTCCTCTGTTGGAGCCTCTTTGTATACAAAAGGGTATTTATTCCTCTCATTCACCGCAGGTCGATGCAGGGTTCCCCGCCAGCTCTGTTCTCAGTTCAGTTCACGGCTTCCTGCTCTCATAGCGTTCGCGTCTCCAGTGAGTTGAAACTAGCAGGCTATCCCGGCTGTGCCAATTCAGCAGCGGCAGCAAGTTCAATCTGCGAGTTCCAGTGGCAGTACTGAGACTTTAGCTGTTCCAATCGTAGCACCACGACTGCATTTCCAATTGGTTTCTCTCAGCTTAGTTCATTTCTGGGTCGGTAGGATATATCTCCCTCTGCTTAGGACTCCCCACACCGCACCATTCCTGGAATCTATGCTGGCTATCTCAGAGAGCCGCTGTAGCTGCTGTTATCTGTCTGCCATCTTTCATCTAATGCTTGACACTTTCTGTAGAGCATATATTCAGTTAATACCGATTGCATAATTCAATAAATAATGATTTGATAAAATAATTGAAAATAATTGAAGTATCAATGATCCTTTTAACCAAATATATAATCCAAGCATCAAATATGTTTTTTTCATTTTTAATCAGTAACATGAAGATGGAGCCAAGCATAGTGGTATATGTCTGTAATCCTAGTTGCTAAGGAGGCTGAGGCAGGAAGATTGAAAGTCAGAGACCAGCTAAGGCAATTTAGTGAGAAGTTATCTCAAAAATATTTCTTAAAAAGTTGGGGGAGGTGTGAAAGCTGGGATAAATTCAGTGATAGAACATTTGCCTAGAATGTGTGAGGCATTGGGTTCAATCTCCAACACTGAGAAACAGAGAGAGAGAGAAAATAATTAAATATTAATCTTTACTAGAAAATCTCCATGAACAAATCATATTACTTGTCCTGGACTTACCAGCAGTAAGCATTGGATGAGGTAATATAATCAGGAAACTGACTGTCATTCATTACTGAGTCACTCGTCACTGAGACAAAATACCTGATGCACCAAGTTGGGAAAGGAAAGTTTTATTTCTTACAGGTTTTGGAGGCTCCAGTCCATTCTCAGTTGGCTCCAAGGCAGGGTGGCATGGCAGGGCTGCAATTCATGGCGGCTGCAAACAGCAAAGCAGAAACTGACAAGAGAGCGAGACATGCCTTCTTCCTGCCATTACATCACATCCTGGCTCCACCCCTATGTGGGTGTAGCAGTGACACCATCAATTGAAGCACTTTACAATGAGCCAGTCACAGATGTATAATGTAAACTCATGAGGTCTGGGGGCCACCAACATGAACCTTGAATTTGTACTCACCTTGTATTTGTACTGCTCGCTCTATTCTTAAAGCTCTGATCTCTTGCCTGATCTCAGGATTGTGTTTCCTATACCTGTCTTGTACTCTTGTGTTTGTTTGTTTGTTTGTTTTCTTAGTATTTTCCTCTTCTCAAGGCCTACTTTTGAGTTTGTTGCCTATCCTGCTGACTTTTCCCTTTGTATAGTTGTGCTGGTATGGACTAAGCTATATAAGCCTATGTTAATGAACCCGTATCTATATGTCCTTTGCTGTAATCACATATGGAGGTAGAGAATGTAAAAATGAGAACCTATTGTACCTTTTTTAAAATATGTAAAGCATTGTTTTTATGAAATGTAACATTTCTGTTTTGTGAAAAAGACAAGTATAATAGTAAAACTTGTGTTGCCTAATATGGTGATTTTTATTACCTGATATAAATAAACACTTTCTATTAAATTCTCTTTCAGAATATCGAGGAAATGAGTGCTTTTGGCAAAGCAGAATTAGAGAAAACTATTGAACATTTGACATGTGTTAATCATCAGGTAATTGATCAAACTGGATTTGGAATATAATGTTATATGAAAGACTGTCAATCTTCACTTTAATATACTGGTTTTTTAAATTACACAGTAATTTGCTAGTAAAATTGTATAGCAGTAAATAGGAGTATGTACTTTGAAAGGCTGATTACTTAGGTTGAGATCATCTCTCCTGCTATATCTATAGGCAAGTTACTTGACCTTTCTGACCCTCAATTTCTTATAAAGTAGTATTAGTACTTCTTAGGGTTTTTGTGAAAATTAAATAGGTTAATAACACATGGAAAGAATTTCGAAGAAAGAGTACTTGATGTATTTCAGTGATTATTGTAGCTTTGGTCTTACCAAAATAATTACAAAATATATACACAGGAAGTAAAAAAAGTAATTCATTGTCATTCTTCATTACTGTACTCCCTCGAGAACCCTGCATTGGTTCCAGGAAGTCCTTAGGTAACAAAATCCTAGGATGTGTAAGTCCCATGTATGAAATGACATAGTATTTGCATATAACCTATGCATCTCCTCCTGTATACTTTAAATCATCTCTGGGTAACTTACAATATCTAACACACCAGAAGTACCATAAAAATAGTTGCTTCTCTGTATTGCTTAGGAAATAATTACAAGGAACAAATTCTGTACATGTTCAGTACAAATGTAACTACCGGGGCTGGGGATTTAGCTCAGCGGCATAAGTGCCTGCCTTGCAAGCAGGCAGTTGCGAGTTCGATCCCTGGTACCAATAAAAAAAAAAAAAAAAAAAAAAAACAAATGTAACTACCATGGGTCTAACTACATAGTTGGCTAAATCTACAAATGTAGAAACCATGGATATAGAGGACTAACTGTCCTTTAGGGGTAAGATTTTTGACAATTTGGGGTACTTTCTAACAATATTTTCTATTTTGTTTTGGTTGCTTTGTATCACAATGTTGTTACTTTTGTTATTTGTCCCCTTAATTCTATTGTTTGAGTCATTTGATTTTTCTCCTTATCATGGGTTATATTTTCCTGCTTCTTTTGAGTGCTGGTTAATTACAGATTGTATACCAAGGCATTGTGAATTTTACCCTATTGATTAGTTCGGAGATGCAGTTAAACTACATGGAAAGTAGCCTGAACCTCTTTATCCTTGTTTCTAAGCTTCCTTAGGTGGAACCAAAGTAATGTATAGTCTTGAACTAATTTTGCTTCACTGCTGAAGTAAAACCCTTTTTAGTAGGCCATCTGCTGTCTGTTGAAGATGGTAGGGTTTCTGAATGACCAGTGGGGACATGTGCTATTCCTGAGCCTGCATGAGCCTTGAATTTGTTCCTTCTACTTCCTGATGGTTCTTTCCCTGGCCTTGGTTGCTTAGCTGTCTGTGCTGAGCTCTACGTTGAATGCTAAGGGATAACTACTCATATAGATCTCTGGATCTTTCATTCTGCAGCTCCTGTTCATGATTTTCTTTGTAACTTTTTGACTTTCATTCCTGCCTTTTAAACATGGGGTGGTCACCAGTCTTCATCTGGCTTCCTTTTCCTATACCCCAGTCTAGAAGTTCTCCAGACATTACACTGTAGCAATCATTTGCTTCTCATCTCAGGTGGTCTATGTCTATCATTGTCTTTTGCCCAGTGTCTTAAAAACTATTCCTATATTTAGGCTAATTTTTTAGTTATTTTAGGAAGAGAGTAAATCTGATCCCTATCACTCCAGCTTGACCAGAACTTTAAAGCAAGAATAAGCTGGAACACACATCTAAAGAAAGTAGCGCAGGTCACTGAAATGAAACTAGAAGATAGGAAACATGAAAGAAGTTAAAATGTTAGAGAATAGAATGATAAGATTTAACCTATATTTAGTTGAATATGAATTTATGTTATACAATTTGAGGACTGTATAGTAGAATACGTGGGAGAGAGAGTATTTGAAGAAATAATGGCTGATTATTTTCTATACAGTAAGAAAACACAGAAATACTGATTTTCAAAAGGCACACTGAATTTCAGAAGAATGACAAATCCCAGTCAAAATAAATTTTAAAAAGTACTTTAAAAAATATGTTACCTCTTGATAAATTTTTAATTATCTTTACAGAAAATTTGCAGCTTCACTAAAAGTCATTTAAAAAGACCTAATTAAATGGAGAGATGCCTCAACTTTGTATTTTAAAAAGTGACCAATACAATGTTTATAAAAGTAAATTCTCTACAAGCTGTTCTCTAAAGTTACATAATTCTAGCTGAAATCCTAAGGTACCAGTATGTCTGTGTTATGAAAATTGACAGTGTTGTAGTCAGGGGTTGTGCAGAGAACAATTAGAATCAGGACATGGAGTTTATAATATTATTTATGATGGTCACCCAGAGTTATCACAAGAAAATGCAGGAAATCTATCCACAACACTAGACATAGAATATTTAGCCAAGGGCCTGAGTATCAAAGCAGTGTCCCACATGGTCCAGATGAAGACCCAGAGCTCATAACAATGCCTCCCACAAGTCCAACTGGAGGTCTAGGGCCCACAAGGACTCATACCAGTCTGTTTTATGGATCTGTGTTGGGAAGCCCCAAAGATCAGTGGCAGAAGCTAGGAAATCTGTGCCAGCAGGGTGAAGGAGCTGTGCTGGTAGGTTGAGAGTTCTGTGCTGCAGCTGAAAAGTCACACACAAAACAAAGACCAGGGCTGTCCTGAAAAACACCACAGCCATCCTCAGCAACCCAGAGGCCCTGAGCTCCTCTGACAGTAAGCATAGTTGAGTACATGCTAGGAAGCCAGCATAACGAGTTCATCCTGGAGATTAAGCAGCACCCATCTTCCCCTCTGGAGCCAGGAAGCAATGCTCAATGTGAGGACCAGAGCTTCTCCAGGATAACCAATGACTCAAACAGCAACGTGTGGGAGAACCCACACTGCCTCAATGCTTTAACACCTCCCTTCTCCACATCTCTGTTTATGCTGGCAACTTTCCTCAGGTGAAACATCTGTGCTCAGCACCATGATAATTTAATTCCGCTGGCATTAAGTTAACCACCAGTTTCCAATCTGTAACAGGCAGTAAATTCTAAAATATACATGGAAACAAAAAAGCCAAGAACCATATAGAAGTCTTAAAGAAAAATATGATACTGGATTTGCGCTACCAGATTTGAGGGCTTTGGCATCATTTTAATTATGATCTAATTACATAGTAAAGTAATACAGTTATGATTAATTATATAATAAGATGGAGAATAATGGAGACTGATAAAATCCAAGAGAGTGTAAACCCACAAATACAAGGAAACCTGATGTATAAAGTAACTCAGATAGGGCTGGGGATGTAACTTAATGGAGTGCTTGCCTGGCAGGCTCAAGTCCTGGGTTCAGTCCTCAGTACTGCGGGACAAGGAAAGGAACAATTATCCAGTAATTGTTTCTGGGGAAAGTAGCTACTTACATTTTAAAAAAGACAAAAAAAAAAAAAAAAAAAATGGATCCTATTGTAAATATACCATACCTCCAAATTGTTTCAAGGTTATTTATAGCCTTAAGCATTCAAAACATTACATTTTTAAAGAAATGCATGAAAAAAATCTTTTCAGCTTTGGGGAAGTAATAAGAGCATTCATTTACATAATATTTAGTATGTGTCAGACCTTTTTAGCAATACTTCATACATATATATTTTAATTCTCATAGCAAGCATGTAAAGTAAATGCTATATTATTTTGTAAATAAGGAAACTAAGGCAGAAAAGAAACTTACTCATGATCACATAGCAGACAGGTATCTAGTGCTAAATTGTATACTACTAAACAAGACACAAACACAAGTTTATTCCATAAAAGAAAGCATAAATAAATAGGACCATATTGATAAAAATGTATTTGTTTACCTAATAACCATAAATTGAAAAATGAACCACTAATTAAAATAGCAACTAACTGAAATAGCAACTTTACCCCTCCCCCCAACAAGATATGAATAGACACTTCTGGAGAAAGAATTAATAAATTAATAAATATAAAAAGATACTCTGTCTCTTATAGGGAAATACAAAGTAAAACTGCACTGAAGTCATTTCATATCCATTAGGTCATCAGTTACTCTTGGGAGTCCAAGTTGGTACCTCCTTGTTGAATAATTTGGCATTATCGCAGCAATGGCATGCATACCTTGTAAGCCAACAATTCTATTTCTAGATATGTGCCCTAGAAACAGTCAGCAGGCTGTGGCCCTCAAGCCAGTTCAGTTTCCAGTCTGATTTTTGTGTGTGCGTGCGTGTGTGTATGCGTGTATGTGTTTATTTGCATCTTTATTTTGCAGTCTGTGAGGCTTCCCAACTCTCACCCCAGAGAAGGGAAAGAAGAGGAGCAGATGTTGGGTCCAAAGGGGAAAGTCTCTGTGTGATTCACCCCATTTTCTCTTTTCCTTAAAGAGACTCGTTGCCCAGTACATGCTTAGGGTCATGTGTCAGGTCCTCACCGGAATCAGCCTGTCGAAGGAGAAGTGCCAAATGGAGTCCTCCTGGAAAACATCAGGGTGGGGGACTTGGAGAGTACACATCATCCCAGCTCTTCCCCCATGTGGCAAGTGGTGAGGGAGGCAGCGGCATCACTGGAGCACACTCGACTTAGCAAGACTCCATCTCAAAATAATGTTAATAGGAACATTAACATTAATAATGTAAATTATCAAAAATTTAAAATGGGCTGGGTATGTAGCTCAGCTTGAAGGCCATGGGTTAAATTCCTGTGAGGCGTGAGGATGGCTGCAAGTTAAAGGCAAGCCTGAATTACACAGCAAGACTGTCTCAGAACATCAAAGGTAAAAAAGTTGCCGGAAGCCAGGCCTGCTGCCCTACATGTGACATCCTTGCAGTGGAGGACTGAGGGAGGCAGGACTGTGAGTCCTTCAAAGCTACCCTGGACCACACAGAAAGGTCCTGTGCCTCTGTACTAAAAAACAGACAGTGAAGTCCAGGGTCCCCAGCCAACATCCCTGAGAAGCACCCAAGATATGGCAGTGAGAGAAAGAAAGATTTTCAGTCTGTTTTTGTAAATTGAATTTTTAGCAAACAGAAGACTTGATCATTATTTTCTGTATTGTCTGTGGCTGCTTTTGCATGTCGGTGGAGGTTCCCGTGACAGATATAGGTCCTACAAAGCCTGAGATAGTTTTCTGGTAGAATCCAAAAACAAGCCAGATATCAATTGAATGGAAAATGGATAAATGATTGTAATTCATACCAACATTTGTCATAGAGCAGAAAAAATATAGAGCAGTGTTACAGTGTACCAAAACTCAATGAATAGTAACTACTAACATCAACATGTATGAATCTTAGAACTTTTATACCAAAAAAAATGAATTCCTGAAGAAGGCATGCAGTATGATACCACACTTGCCTAAAGTTCAAAAACATGTAAAGCTAAGCAGTGTATTGGTCAGGAATTCATATTAATGTGTTACACCAAAGAAAAGCAAGAGGCCGAGCACCATGGCACGTGCCTGTCCTGCTACTTGGGAGCCTGAAGCAGGCATCACTGTGGATACTAGTACAAGGCCAGCCTGGGCAGCCTGGCTCATAGTAAAATAAATAGGAAAAGCAAGAAAAGAAACACAAGATTGAGGGTAATGACTTGGTTTACAACATTTTCTGCTTTGGTTTCTCCTTAATTTAGTTGAATCTACTTAGTGTTTTTAAGTCTTAAAAATTTTCACTCTCCTAGTTGTTTTGCTTCCTGTTTCCTTTTCTGTTGTATTTTTCTCTTTCTCTTTCTCTCTCTCTCTCTCTTTTTTTTTTTTTTTTTTTTTTTTTTTGTTTGTATCTTTTCCTTCATTTTAGTGATGGGAAGAGAAGTAAATGGATATGCATTTTCTGACATCTAGAACCTAAGTATACACGTGACTCTTAACGTTTAAAAAATAAATCTAATTTCTTTTCTTCCAGAAATATTATTAAAAAGTGCCTATGAAAAATAAAAACCCTAAAATATGCCTGTTAATTTTAATTATAGCTGGAAAGTGAAAAATACGAATTACAATCTAAAGTGATAATAATGAAAGAAACAGTAGAGTCACTAGAGAACAAATCCAAACTCCAAGCTCACAAGCTTAGCCATCTCATGGCTGGTGACTCATCCTATCACAAAACAGAGTTGAACTCTCTTAGGTAAGTTTATTAAACCTTTTGTTGTTTCGCTTTAGGGAAAATGTTTCTAGGTATGTAAGGTGCATGTCCCTGGAGTTTCGGACTGTATCTTTGGCCTTGCAGCAGAATCACCTGAGGGCTTTTGAAAAGAGTTTTGGGGCAGATCTGTGATGTTCTAACTTGCTAAATAAATTTTGGTGGGTTTTCGGATATATATATATATATTTTTTTAAACTTTAATATGTTGCAGGCAAAATTCTGGTGCCTATACCTTTTGAAATTCCTTTTAATGATTGCTTCAGATTATTTTTCTCTATAGCATAAGATTAGTGAAAATTACAGAACTCTTTGCTACCGATACATTTTCCTTGTTTCTTTTGTCTTTCTCAAAGAAATGTAAAATCCTAATATTTACTCCTGGAAATTTTGGAGTGAGTGTGTGCATCTGTGTGTGTGTGTGTGTGTGTGTGTGTGTGTGTGGTGCTAGAAACTGAACCTAGAGTCTAGCAAGTGCTGTACTTCTGAGCTGAATCTCCACCCTAGAAACATTTTTAACAAAAGAGGGTCCATGAGTAGTGTACCCACTGTTACATTTATAGTAAGAATCAGCGAAAGATTTGCAAATGCTAACAAGATATTATGTCTGTGAAAATAAATCAGACTGAAGCATTCAGAAAGAATTGTAGTGATAATTTTAAAAGAAATTGACATATTAAAATAAGGGTTTTTGAACAGTAGATGGGCTGTTACTGAAAACTGAGTTGGTGAAATCGAAAACAAACTCAAGAAATTTGTCTAGAACGTAGGACAAAAAGGAATGATGACACACATTTAGTATACAAAAACTAAGAATCACAGAAGTATGTAGTAAAATAAACACAGCAAAGGTGGGAATCAGAGGAATAATTAGGAGAAGAAAAGCTGGAGATTAGTCCATTTACCTGATTGTCAAAACAGCATAAAACAATAAGATGAATCACTGATTTATGTGATCAATTAAGGAGTATTGTATTTGGGACTCGAGTAAGTCATCTTCAGTTTCACCCCTTAGTTGTCCTTATCAAGTAGCCTTTAGGAAGAACTGAAACAGTTGCTGCCCGTCTGCCCTGCTCTGCTCTGGTCTGCTCCCCTCCCCTCCACCCTCCCAACTTCCTCACCCTCCTCTCTCTTCTTCTTTTGCAAGCACTACAACATCCTATGAAGGAAATGTGAGTGGATCAGCCCTTCTTCTGGTTAATGTCTACATTCAGCTTCAAAGTAGCAATATCATGGTGTGATTTTATTTCTCAGAATTATTAAGCTGGCTAGGTGTGGTTTTACACACCTGGAATCAGTGATTTAGAAGCTGAAGCAGGAGAATCAAGTTCAAGGGCAACCTGGGGAACTTAGCAAGACCTTGTCTCAAAAAATAAAGAGCTGGGAATATGGCCTTGGCCTTTGCCTTTGCCTAGCATGCATGGAGGCTCTGGGCCCAATCCTTAATAATGTAAAGAAGAATAATTGACTGTGTATTCTTTTTACTTTTGTATCCAGCCGACTGGATCGGGCACTTAATCCATTTTGCTTTTTCTTCAGAACATAGCTGCAATACCTGTTTCCTTTCCTTGGTTTTTCTTCTTATGCTAATGTCCTTTTCTCCTGTCAGCTCAGTTGGCCTCTTCCTCACCCACAAGTCAGGCACTGAGGTATGGAGAACTGTGAGACTGGTTCTACCCTCTTTAACCTGGGCATGTTGCAGAATTTCATACCTGTTTTGCTGTGACAGGAAAGTAGCTTAGTACCACTTTTGATACGGTTGATAGAACTCGAGTCAATTCTCTTTTCTTTTATGTGACACATATGAGAAGCTGATTTTCAGGTAGATGAGGTGCATGTTCCTTTCCGTCCACCTCGTGGACCTTCCCCTCTTGCCCTCCTGCATCAGGTATCGTCCACCAACTTTCAGTGCCACCAAAACACGCTTTCCATATAGGGCATAGTCTCCAATTGTTGAGATAGAGTCTTTGGTCTAGTCACCAGATGTAGCATCAGGGTTGTATAAAACTCTGTAACTTTTTAAAGTTAAATGACTGTTGCCTTCTTTGAAGTGTAGGATTTAATGAGACTAGGATTTTATAGCCCAAATCAAAACTCCATAACACAGTAAAGGAATGTCTTTTCACCCCCCAGTAAGATGCCTGTTTACTCCTCAGAGCAAATTGTAGAGCCAGGATCAGCAAACTTTCTGTGAATGTCAGTCAGTGTTTCAAGACTGTATGGGCCATATAGTTTCTGTCACACCTACATAACCCTACTGTGCCTTTGTAGCTCAAAATTAACTGCAGGCACTATACAAGTGGAAGAACGTGGTTATGCTTTGGTATAACTTTATCGATACTAAAACTTGGACTTTAAATTCTTTTATTATGTCACAAATTAACAGTTTTTGGTTGAAAAATGTTTTTAATCATTTAAATATGTTAAAACTATTTGTAAAGTTTGAAACTTGCAAAAATAGCTGTAGTTCGTCAACTTCTGTTTAAGAATAAATTGTTTCCAGTCCAGTTAGACAACTTTTCTCAGTTGACCCTTGATCCTTACAACTGCTAGCTGTGAAACTAAACAGCTGAGATTCCTGCAGCAGAAAATACTGTCATACTGTCTCAGTTCACCTTAGTCTTTAATCATTGTGTGCTGGTCACGCCAAAGAGGTATATACTTACTGAGGATAAACAAGTACAATAGCAGATTTTCCTGGAAATGACTCATAAATTCTTGTCATAATTATTATTATGCCAGTAAATATCAATAGGATATTGATATCAACAGAATATTAACATCAATAGGATATAAAAATAGGATTTGTTTATATGTACTCATAAAACCAAACTTAGTTGGTCTCCTTGAAGAAGTATTTATTTGTTAAGGGGATTAGATATTATTTTAGATAAGGAAATAAGACCTATAGATTACGTAGGGTACCTAAAAACTATCCCTGGGGTATTCCTAAAATTTTTTTTTACCAAATCAGGAGGAAAGACCAGGGTGGTGAATGAGGATAACTGAGCTTGTGGAGCTCGAATTTAAAGGACCAAATAAACGAGGGCGTCATCTCCTTGCAGAAACCTAAAAGAAAAACCAATCAAAATTCTTCTTCCCTCTTCAGTGTACCAGGAGATTAACAGTGTGACTCGATAAGTGGTGGGCTATACCCAGAGACTTTTGGGAGAAATCTAAAATAAAACAGATACCACACCAGCATATTCTGTTAGCCCATCATAGTTTCAAGCCTACCTCCATTAGGTAGAGTTTCAGCTCCGTGTTAGAAGTTAAACACTTCTTATGAATAAAGGACCATTTCAGATGCTGTCCTTGTTTAAAATACATTCTGTCATGAAAGGAAACATTTGTGTCCCATTAAATGTATAATGCCTTGTAATATAACACACGAGGAATTTGAGTCTAAAGAGACAAACAACCAATTAACGTGTCTTTTCGGTGAAGAGCTAGAACTTGACCCAAGACCACTATTACTGCTTCTCTCTAGTGGGAAGTCATTACTTCTTTACTGTGTTTTATAGTACTTTTGAAGCTAAGAAACTTACTCTTGTTTTCCTACTTAGTTCTCAAAGTTTCATTTCCAAACATAATTATGAACAAATAATGAGGCAGTTACTCAGCTGTTCTTCCCTATGAGATTTCCACCCCAGTTCTTTATTCAGAAGACCTTTATCATCTCGAAGCCGTGGCCACACCTGTTTTCCCAGCACTGACGGAGGCTGAGGCAGAACTGCAAATTTGAGCCCCACTTGGGTTACTTGTCTTAAAATAAAAAATAAATACATGCAAGTATAACACACTTGTTAATCCTAGCACTCTGGGAGGCTGAGGTAGAAGGGTCACAGGTTGGAGGCCAGCCTGGGCAACCTAGGCAATTAGTGGGATCCATTCTTAAAAATTAAAAACATAAAAATAAAAAATGTGCTAAGATTGTAGCTTGGTGTGAAAACTCTGGATTCATTGCCAATAATAATAATAATAAATTATTAAAAGTAAAAATAGCTGCAGATGTAACTCACTGGTAAAGAGCTACTGGCTTTCATCCCGATACTAAAAAGAAAGAGAAGATAACCAATGCTATGTTAGCTGTTTGTTACTGGGACAGAGTACCTTACACAAAGGAGAAAGGGTTTATTTTGGCTCTGTTTCAGAGATGTCAGCCCATGGTTGACTGGCTCCTAAGTGCTCTGTGGTCATTCCGTTTCTGGAAGGAATCTGTAGCTTCCTTACAAAGGTTTTCCACAGGAAGAATATTGGTTTCCCAGGATAGTGTGCAGAGAGCAATATGATGTAGTAGAAAAACATTGATAACGGGTTAGACTCTCCTAGATTTCCATCTTTCTTTGCCTTTACTAGCTTTTTGTGACTTTGGACAAGTTATTAATTGATAGAGTAAAATTGGATTAATAGTTCTCATTATAGAACTACAAGAAATGCCTACCTTCTTTGCTGTAAACTCAAGTTGACCAACCACTCAAAAAGAGAGAGTAAGAAGCAAAATTAGGAGTTCACACTGGGGTTAAAATTTATGTTAAATCCCAAGTGCTCGGCTATGCCATAAAAATAGGATTTTGATTTTGCCTCCACATTTAGAAGTAGATTTTAAAGAAAACTGAGAAGAGCTTAAACTATCAAGAAACTTTCAGGAAAGAATACATATTAATTCAATTTTATACCATATTATTTTTAGGAAGATGGAGCATGGCAGAGAGAAAGAAACAATACATAAAATAATACCATTGATTGTACTGGAAGTACTTTAAAATAAAAGAAACTTAAAATATCAAAAACTTAAGATATCTTATTTTTAAAAATTATTTCTCTGACAGATAAAGAATGCCATTTGTGAGGCTGGGGATTTAGCTCAGTGGCATAAGTACCTGCCTTGCAAGTAGGCGGTTGTGAGTTCAATTCCCAGTACCGGTAAAAAGAAAAAAAAAAAAGTGTAAGAATGCCATTTGTTTTTGTCCTCTGCTTCTTTAGGATGGTAAATGAGCAGCTACAGCAGTCACTTGATGACTATCAGCACCGACTGTCCATAAAAAGAGGTGAACTTCAATCTGCCCATGAACAAATTAAAATACTGGAAGAAAAAATAGGTAAGTGTTTTTCAATTCTGTTTTTGCTAATATGAATTTACTTTGCCCAATAAATGCTTCTTTTCATTTACAGATACGATAAACCTTAAGATGACTTCACAGGATGAAGAGGCTCATATAATGAAAAAGACTATTGGTGTTATTGATAAAGAGAAAGATTTCCTCCAGGAAACTGTGGATGATAAGACAGAAAAGATTGCAAACTTAGAAGAAGTCCTCACTAGTAAAGTATGTTATTGTTAAGTATTATTTTCAGCATCAAAAGATTGTTTTATTCTATTTCAGTATGCAGTTCTTGTCCCCATGTGTAAGTTCCTCAGACCCAGGATCACTATGTCTTCTTTTTGCCAAATCCATTTTATTTCAAGGGGAAAAAAAACTAACATTTTCTAAACATGTCAATCAGGGGCAACAATACATTGTGTATTGTCACCCTCAAATCATTCACACTGAATTTGCATTCAGTTGTCTGAACAATACCAGCACAAATCTTTCTCTTCAGTCAACTCAGAAATCAGTAGTATAACTATCTTAACTATTTTTTATATTCATATACATACACATGCACATATGTTGCTTCTTTCGGCTTCTCACACTGAGATAATACAGTGTTTACACATGTGTGTCATATTTATTTCACTAAGGACCATGTCTTCTAATATGTTTAAGTTTCTTTTTGTCTCAATAATTTGAATCTTTAAAATGGGATTTTATCTATTTCTAGTAATTGATGTTATCACATCTTATTAAAGCAAACTGAAGAAACCATTCGAGTTCATAGAAATGTGCCAGTGTGAAGTATAAAGGGGAGTTGGAAATGTTTACTCGGAGCTTTTTTTTAATGCATAATTTAAAGTATTAAACCAAATACTTAATTATACAAATGTGATGGATTGTACAAATTTAGCTAAAGATTTATCTGTATGAAAGGTTTAGAATCTTACATTTTTATAATTTCTTTAGGAAAAAGCTGTTGCTCAGATGAAGACAACTATCTCAGAGTATGAATTATCTCTGACGTAAGTAACTAATGAAATGGCGTTCAGTGACTATAGTTTCATCTCTTTAGTAGTAGTTCAGTAAAGGAAAATTTTCAGTTTCCCCACTTTTGCCAGTGACAGCATCATTTCCTGTAAAATATGTCATTCTTTAATTCCTCTGTCATTTGCATCCAAATGCTTAGGTCTAATTATTCCTTTGCATTTCTACTTGCTCTTTTGTTTTAACTAATTAACTACTTGACTCAGGTCATAATCATTAAAATTTACTTTAGTAGGCAGTTTTGGATTTATTCTCCATTCTAAGCTTACCTTGAACACCTCTTTCCAAGTTTACTTTTTCTTTTTCTTTTTTTGCAGTAGTGGGATTTGATCCCAGGTGCACTGTATCAGTGAGCTACATCCCCAGCCCTTTTTATTTTTTATTTTGAAATGGTCTAGAACTTAGAACTTGCTTCTGCCTCCAAGTGCTGGAATTGCAGGCATGAGCCTCTGCTCCTGGCTGCAATTGTATATTTTATATCTAGTCTTTCCAAAAAAAAGTAAGCTATTTAAAGGCAAAACACTGATTAATACATTATGGACCTTTGTTTCAGATCAGAGTGAGACTGTAAATATTTATTCAGAATTTGCCAGTTGAATCTGTTACATATAGCTCTTAGCACATGGAAATTTTCTGTTTTTAATGTGGCTTTTGGAGTAATAAATTTCTTTTATGGCTTCATTTGCATATAATAATTGGTAGAAATCTGAAATAACTGCTTTATCTAATTGATCTAAATGTAGCAGTTATAACTGTAGAGTTTATTCTTAATTTTTCAGACTACAACAGTTTTCATTTAAATGAGCTACAGTTTTTCAAGAGCTGTATTATTTCCATATCACCTTTTAACAGCCGATTAAAGGAAACATTGGGTAATCGAGACCGGGAAATCAGCAGCCTCCGGCAACAGCTTGATGCGGCTCTCAAAGAACTGAATGAAGTAGGGAGGACTAGAGAAATGTCTTTTAAGGAAAACAGAAGATTACAAGATGATCTGGCTACAGTGGCGAGAGAAAATCAGGTATAAGCATAATATGTAAATTTGGTAGTTTCATAACATAGCACCTATTATTGTTTACTAAATTATTAAAGCTCTAAATTACTATTTTATTCTAAAACATAATGATAAAAATATAAGTAACATAACTAATTCTTTAAGGAGCATGCTATTTGTTGGGGTATTAAAACCTGTAGTTTAGGCTATTTCTTAGGTTCAACTCAGTTCTCATCAGGGATACATTGCTGTGTTTTAAGGACCTGTCACACATTTTAAGTATATGTACTTCTTTTGGCTTTGATGCCTATTTGTAAATAAATTGGTGAATATTTTAGAGCGTGAAGCACTAGAAGGTAGTGGTTTTGTTTGTGCTGGTTTATTAAATCTTTTTTTTTTTTAAGGAAAATAAAACAATAAAATCAATCAAAATAAACCAGAATAAGTAATACAGGACTTCCAAACCTTTTGAAATCAACAGTAGTTACCACAATGGCTTTGTTGTTGTCTTCAAAATAACTGCAGATACCACCTTCGGACATAATAAAAAAAAAAAATCGAACAGAACAGGATAGAATAGAAACAATAAAAACAAAACAGTGAATACAATGAAGAACCTCAAAACAAGCTAGTAGTAAATACATAATGGCTTCCATAACATGTCTTGCTGTCTTTCAAATAGCTGCTCATGCCATCAGAGTTAACATAAACAAAACAAAAGAGAATAAACCTTAACCCAAAAGAAAAGACAATGAAAATGATACAGTTTCCGGTGGGGATCTGCACCTTGTAGGTGGTGGTTCTCTCCCGCCACAGTCCACAAATGGTGCTGGCTCACAGAGAGAGGCTTGGGTCTGGCTCACGCGAGCCAGCAGCAGCCCACTCATGTTACTGGTGTGGAGGGCGGGGATCCGATTTATTAAATCTTTATACCAAGAGCACCAATGATTTTAATTAATTTATGTTTTTAAAAATTTACTTTCAGTGCTTTTCATTACAAAGCATATTGCTGATACATGAATTTTTTAAAAGGTCAACTTTTGACCATCACTAACCCTTATTGTACGAATCAGATACATGGTCAGGACTACTGTGGGAAATTTGCAGTAAAAATGGGTTAAGAAGTATTTGCTAGGAAAATATATAAAAGTCATCTTTAGACGTTTTCCTTTTTTATCTCTCTCATAGTCTTTAATTCCAAAGGAACTATTTGAAAATAAATGGACATCATTTGGCGTATTGTATTCACTATAGAACTGTGTTGAATTTCTAATTTATAGGAAATCTCATTGGAATTGGAGGCAGCAGTGCAAGAAAAAGAAGAAATGAAGAGTAGAGTTCATAATTACATAACTGAGGTGTCCCGATGGGAGAGCTTAATGGCTGCTAAGGTGAAAAACATTGTTTAGTTGTACTGAAGACTGAGCTTTTCATGTTCATAATCTGCCTGGTAGATCTGGCCTACTGCCATATTTCCCCATAGACCTTAGTACAGTGCCTCACAGATACCTGATGCATCTTAAATTAGAATAGAATTCCCAATGTGGGAATGTGTTTATGACACAGGTGTTCCTATGAATGACACAGTTTATTAACTTAGAAATCATTTCATTTGCTTAAACCAGGAGCAAGAAAATCAAGATTTGTTAGATAGATTTCAGATGCTTCACAACTGTGTCGAAGACTGGGAGATCAAGGCTCATCAAGCTGAAGGAGAAAGCAGCTCAGTTCGACTAGAACTTCTTTCTATTGACACAGAGAGAAGACACCTTCGAGAAAGAGTGGACCTATTAGAAAAAGAAATTCAAGAGGTAATACATTCACTTGTCTAGTAAAAAGCATTATTCTGAAAAATAGAAACATTGAAAGATACTTTATTGAAGTGGATAATCAAGTTCAGTAGTTATGTTTTGTCATTAATTCAGATACTTTGCTCAGGAAAGCTCCATTATATTGTTTTACTGTGGTAAAAGATAGGTAACACCAAACATACCATTTATGATATTAAATATACCCACAGGGTTATGCAGTGATTGTCAACATCCTGGCTGTAGTACTTGCTTTTTATTTTTTGGCAGTGGGCACTGTGAACCCATGGCAGGCAAGTATTCTACCATAAACTACATCCCTAATCTCTACCTATTTTGATTTTGGTTTTAAGTATGAAACTGGGTCTGCTGAGTTGCTTATGCTGGCCTCGAACTTGCACTTCTTTTATGTGGACCTTCACACAGCACCATACACAGCTATCTCTACTACTTTCCATCTGTGCCAACTGAAACTCTGAACACATTAGACACGGTACGGCCTCCCTTCTTCCCTTCTGTTGGCACCCACGATTCTGTTTTCTGTCTTTATGGATTTGACTTATCTTGGTTTCTCAGATAAGTGGAGTTACATAGTACATGTCCTTGTGGCTGACTTTTTTGACTTGGCCTTAAGATTTACTTTATCTCCAATAGTCATCCACATTATAGTATGTTTCATTGCTTTTCAAGGTTGAATGATACTCCATTTTAAGGATATGTTGCATTTTGTTTATCCATTCATCTTTTGATTGACATTTATTTGGTTTGCTTCTACTTGTTGGATCTTCAGGGTAATGCTGCTATGAAGAGGGGTAAACAAATACGTGTTCAAGTTCTTGCTTTCAGTTCTTCTGGATATCTACCCTAACGCAGAATTAATACATCACACATTAAATTTTTCAAGAAAACACCAAAGGTACAGGGATTGCACCAGTTTACACTCACTCTAACAATGCAAGAGGATTCTAGTTTCTCCACAACCTTACCAACATTTATGTTTTTTATCCTTCTTTTCTCTCTTACTCATACTCACACTGTCTCTCTCAGCAGTTATCCTAATGTGAGTGAAGCAGTATCTCATTGTGATCTTGATTTGTATTTTCTCAATGATTATATGATGTTGAAAATCTTTTCATGTGCTATTGACTATTTATATATTTTCTTTACAAAATTATTTTCTGTTTTTAAAACAAGTTTTTTGTTGTTATAGGAATTCTTTACTACTCTAGAAATTAATACCTTACTAAACATGCACTTTGCAAATATTTTCTCCCATTTCATAGATCTGTTCACTCTGTTGATAGGTTGTTTTTTAATTGACATGCAATGTTTATATTCATTTATGGAATACAATGCAGGTACAGTGTGTAATGATCAAAACAGGGTAATTAACATTTCCATGTCCGCAAATATGAACATTTCCATGTGTTGACATTCTCCACTTGCTTTCAAATGCATATCAAATTGCTGTAGACTACTTGTACCATGGTGCTGTAGAACCTTAGAACTAATTCATCCTCTAGTAGTAGTTTTTAAATTATTTTATTTAGTAAATGTTTGCTACATAATACTACATAATGTTTACCTTTCTTCTGTGTAGGTGGTAGTGTATGTAACATATTTTCATTCCTTTTTCTTCCTTTTCTCCCTTCTGCCCTTTCATTTTTGTTCCCCTTTCCATTTGAGAAAGAGCTCCCTGCTTAACTGTCATCTATCTTTTGTTTGCTCTTTATTTATACTTTGAGTTTCTCATGTAAGAGAAACTTTTTAGCTTGTTTCTAATTTATTTCACTTAACACTATGGTCTCAGTTTGCATCCATTTTGCTACAAATGACTCAGATTTATCTTTCTTTATGACAGTAATATATACCTTTGATGTAAATACCACATTTTCTTTATCCATTCATCTGTTGATGGACATATAGACTGCTTCCAGTATTGGAAAAACTGGTTTTTCACATGCTCAAGACTAAAACTAAACCCATGTGTATCACCACACATTAAAATCAAAATATGTCAAAGGACCCGAGGATTTAGCTCAGTGGCACAAGCACTTAACTGGCAAGCGCAAGGTCGTGAGTTCAATCTCTGGTACAAAAAAAAAAAAAAAAAAGTCAAAGATCTAAATATTAAAACAGAAAATAGATAGAAATCTTGAAGACATAGGTTCAGGTTCAGGCAGAAAGTTCTTGAACAAACCTCAGATCACATAGGAAATACTACAAGAATCAACTGGAATTTCATCCTATTGAAAAGCTTTTACTTAGCAAAAAAAATCATCAATAGAGTGAAAAGACCACCCACAGAGCGGGAAAAAAATTTAAGCCAGTTGTCCCTTAGACAAAGACTTATATCTAGAGCATGTAAGGAATTAAAAATATCATACCCCTCAAATTCAAAGACCCAACCCAAAAATGGGCATCTAAGATGAATATGTGCTTCTCAGATGAAGAAATAAAAATAGCAAATAAATATATGAAAAGCATTCAATATCATTGGTCATTTGAGAGATGCAAATTAAAACAACACTGAAATTCCATCTCCAGAAAGAACGGCTAGTATCAAGAAATCAACCAAGAGCAAATGCTGGAGGAGTGTACAGATTCCTCAAAAGTCCTAGGGTTAAAGGTTCCTTCAACCCAGGTATTCCTGGAAAAATTGAAAACATCATACGCAGCAGTGTCCTTGTGTATTTATAGCAGCACAATTTGTAATAGCTAGACCTTAGACACAACCCAAATGTCCATCTAGTAAGTAATGGATAAAAAATGTGATCTTTCTATACAGTGGTTTACTACTGAGCTATAAAGTAAGATAAACAAGACTTTTATAGGTAAATGGATACAACTGGAGACCATACTCACAAGTAAAATGTCAGACTTGTATGTGTAAACATTGTGTTGTCTCCCTGGTGTAAGGAACTGAAAGAATAAATAAGGACCAAAATGTATAATAGATATTGTGAAATGGGAAGAGACTGTTAAAAAGGGCAGAGGAATAGAGTGGGTAAAGGGGGAAAGGAAGGAAGAGGAAGAAAAACAACCAAGTTAGTTATAATACTAGTTTCTCTTAGTTCATTGAAAAGAATGCTAATATTGTTTGGAGAATTTTTTGTCTATATGTTGTACTCTGAGTAACTACTTTGAAGATAACAACACATAATATATTAACTATTGTTATTCTCCTACTAGCTTCTTATGAAATTTTGTTGCATTTTTTCCATAAAGTTTTTTTAAAAAAGAATTTTGCACGCAATATTGAATAGTGGAAGAATATCCTGATTAATTTAGAAAAGCATTTTATCCCAGTTAGTTATAAAGGACTGAAAATGTACCTTTGCATCTGTTTAGAATAATATTTCATGGGCACCTAGCACTGCATAATAAGTTCCATGACTGTAAACACATAGATTCGTTATTTAATTAAAAAAGAGATTTAGCTATTATGAATATGCTGTTATAAACATGGGTATGCATGTAATACTGTAATATGATATCTTTAATACTTTTAGGAAAATACCTATAAGGAAGATAGCTGGTTCAAATGGGATTTCTAGTTGTAGTTTCTTTGAGGAATCGCCATAGTGGTTGTGCTGGTTTACATTCCCACCACACTGTAGAAGGGTTCCTTTTTCCTCATATCCTCACCACATTTTTTATTGTTTGATTTCTTGATGATCGTTATTTTTTCTGGATTAAGGTGGACTCTCAGTATTGTTTTAGTTTGCATTTTCTGTAATGGTGCATTACAGAACATTTAGTTTGCATTTTCTGTAATGATGTGAGCATTTCTTTATGTATTTATTTTCTATTAATACTTCCAGGAAGTACCTATGCATTTCACTTACCTGTATGTTGATTGGGTCTTTCATTTAACTTCTTTATATATTCTAGATATTAGTCCTTTGTCTGAGAAATGTGACACAAATTTTTCCCCATCCTGTAGATTTTTTTATTCTGTTTTTGCTATGCAGATTTTTAATTTTATATGATCCCATTGGATTCTAAGTACTGCTATTTCCTGTGCAACCATGTTTCTGTTTAGAAAGTACCTACCTATGCCTGTGACCTCAGAAATTCTACTTTATCCTTTAGAAGGTTAAGTGTCTCTGTTTTAACATTTAGCTCTTTGATTCATTTTAATCTTGGTTTCGTATGTGGTGGGTCTAGCACTCAGTCTTCTTCATGATGATAGCCAAACTTTTTACCACCATTTATTAAAGAGGCTGTCTGTCCTCTACAGAATGTTTTTGGCCCCTTTGTCAAAGATCAAATAGTTGAATGTGCTTCATCCTCAGTTTTCTTCCATTGATCCTCATGGTGTGTGTGTGTATGTGTGCATGCGTGTGCGGATGTGAGCATGCTAGTACCATCCTATTTTTGTCACTGTAGGTTTGTAATATAGTATCAAGCCTGAGACTCTGATGCTTCTCATATTACTCTTGTTACTAAGAATTGCTTTTGCTTTTCTGAGTCTCTGGTTTCATGTGAATTTCAGAATTGTTTTCTAAAGTTCTGCAGAGGATATAGTTCCATTTTCTGATATCCCCTTTGATTTCTGCTTTTAGAGGTCTTTTACTTAGGTTAATTGCTAAATATTTAAATTTTGTTTGTGTTATTGTTATAGTATTATTTTTTCCTAATTTCTTTTTTGGTGAGTTCATATTAGTAGACAGCAGATATGGTGAAGCTTCTTTTAGAGCTTTCAATGATAACAAAAATCAGGCTGTGACACACGTGCCATAAGTTCACCATCACTGGTATACAGAAACACTGTTAGTTTTTGTGTGTTGAGTTCATAAACTGCTATGTTACTGAACTTGATTATTAAGACTGTTTTGGTGAATTTTGGGGGTCTTTCATGTGGAGGATCATGTCTGCAAATAATAATCCTTTCCTGTATATATCTCTCTTATTTTTCTTGCTCATCAGTGTTTTGAGTACTGGGTTGAACAGGAATGGTGATAGGAGACATCCTTGTCTTATTCCTGATTTAAAAAGGA